TTGAGTGATGCTGCATGTGAATTTAATTCATTCTCAGGAGTGTGCGTTTGTTTCTTTTCAGGGAAGGGAATTTATCTACAAAGCAAATTGTATTTCTTCAGAGACCTTCTTTGCCCCAGAAAGCAAAGAAAAAAGAATCTAAGGTAAATAAACCCATGTTCCTGGTTTCTTTGTTTTTTTTTGTTGGCAGAATTTTAATATTGCAGTTGATTTCCCAAAGAAGTAAAAGTGGCTTATTGAATGTCTCTGTGGCCTGCTAAACTGAAACAAGACACAAGGAATTGAACTGTTCGAACAAAAGGAGATGCTCAGACGATGTGAAAAGCCCTTGTATTTTGTTCTCTGCTGGACTCATGGCAGCAGAAGAGGTGTAGAATTCTCTTTACAGCTCTGCCATAAACCTGCACATGTGACCTAAAAATCTCTGCCCACATGCACTGTCTGCAAAGTGGAACTGATACTCGTTGTTGTCTCTTACCTCGTTTCTATCTAGTGCTAGAATGTTAACAAATTCTGCTCGAATTTAAGCATAAAGCCCCCTGAATCCAGGTAAATTATCTGAGAACGCAGCTGCCAGCTAATAACATACGTATGTGGATAAACATACATATTCACATTTCCCTTTTTAAAAGCATAACAGTGGAAACCCCCACCCAGCTGTGTCATGCTGTACTGCTGAAGGGGAAATACTGGCACTGGGCAAGTGCTAACCTTCCTCTTGTGTAGGAATTTGCCTTGCACTTTCTGTGTGTAAGGGAAGGATCAGCAAGCCGGGTGAAGTAGAGAAAAGCTCCCTGAGACCATGTGATGAGAAAATTGCTCATACAGCCTCATTTTTATTCTATTTTACTCTTTGCAATTGCTGAGTGCTGACTGGCCAAATGTCATCAGCAGGACTGCTGTGCTCACAGCTGAGCTACAGTAGGATATGGAAAATGCTAAGTAGAGCTGAGCACTGAGAGCACTGTAGCTGGTCTTTAGGGAACTGCAGATAGTTTTCATCCAGAAAGCACTCACTGGATTGGAGCTGGCTTTGTGAGAGTCACCTTTTAAATACAGCAGAGAACAGGAAGGAGTTTAAGCTGACCAAAGCAGGAAAAAGCTGCTGGGAGCACGTCTGTTGTTTAGGATTTACCCTTTCTTACTAGTGAAGCCAGAGCCCAGTTATTCTGTGATGGTGCTACAAAGCCTATCTGTCTAATTCCTTCTCTTTGTTTAAGTGATTAAAGGGATGTTCGGGTAAGGTGCCCATATTCAGTTATTCTTTTGGTGGGTGACTGTAAGCAATTCTGTGTCTTCAAACAGTATGAGAAACAGTATGATACTGATTTCTTGTACTATAATAACAAATGCATACCATCCAAATGACTCAATGATTTGTTTACATTTTTTTCATTTGGGGATATAAAAAGTTATTTAACAATGTCTGGTTGACAAAACAAAGGATTTACTTGTTGGCAGTGTTAAATATACAGACGTACTTGGGCAAAAATTAATAATGCATTTTCAGACTGAAGGCCAAGAAAAATGGGGTGCATTGGTTATGACCATATAGACATCTGTAAGACTTGCTCAGCCTCTCTGAACAGCTGTCATGAGCCACTTCGAAGATGCCAAACCTAACATTTGGTGAAGCTGCTGAACGTTCTGCCATCTAACATCACAAGCTCTCTGGGGGTTTTTAACTTAGGATATGGCATGTCTAAAGTGTTTGTAGGTGCCCGCTACTTGGAGGGATATCTGCTGATTAGGTAGAAGGACACTGCAGTGCTGGAAGCTGGTTCATCCCATCTGTGCTCACCAAGTGGGTGCTGCTCAGTTTAACTTGAACAGAAAAGGAAGCAGGCAAGGAGAGGTAAAATTTCTCTTTAGTAAGACAGTGCAAAATTGAGTCAGTGATGATCATGTTCATTCACTTCATACTAAAGTGGTGCTCATTTCAGCAGAAACTGTCTGTATACTTTTTTGTGAAATATAATATATACACCTGAGTAGACATGCATACATATGTACCCGTGCCTGTGCAGGTATGCAGAGTCTCCTGTAGATTCAGGATAAATTATATTGTGTTCAGGGCCCTGATCTTGTTTCCGTCAAAGAGAGCGCCGGGTTAGAAAGAAGCTGTGAGTGTGCAGCCCTCCTCCAAATCAAAGAGAAAATCAGGTGCCTGTGAATTGTGAACAGTTGAGCTCTAGAACTGAGATGTTATCTTTCACTTAAATACCGTTACAGTTTAGAGAAAGGAAAGAAAGCCTCCTCTGCAAAAAACCAAGGATCTTGTTAAAACCTGTTTTTCTTTTTTGTAATTTAATTTTTTTTAGCCTTATGTTCTTGGTAAGAGAAGGAAAGAACATTGCTCCATTTTCGTAATCAGATAAACTTAATAAGTTTTGAATAACTTTTTTGCTTAAGGAATAAATAGCTAAATCAAAAATTTATGAATGTTACTCTGTGCCATGGTCACAGTGGAAAAAATGGCTTTTGTATTTATGGCACACAGGAAGTAGTGAGCACTGCCTCCTAGCCCATCCCTGAGTCTGCACTGTCCTGGTTCCTTCTGTGGTACATCCGTGCACTCAGGGAGCTGCTGTGGGTTGACTCAGCACTGGTGTGGGACCAGGTCTGACGTTCCTTGGGAAGCTCAGCTTATTTTTTGATGAATGAAGACGTATATTAATGGTATAGTTGTCAGACCCTGTGTATATTAGACCTGTCCAGTCAGTATTTCAAGATACTGCCAGTTCTCTCTCTCTCTCTTTTTTTGTTTTTAAATAGTGGTTAAAGCAGTTCTTTTGAAATGGTAGCTGTGGCAAGTCTTGTGTTGAGGTGTATTGAGGCAGCTTCATGTGCTCTTCACAAAGCCTTCATACTGTTCTACGATTTAGGGTTTGGGGTATGGTGTTAGTTCTGCTGCTAGCCTGGTGAAAAAAGAATTGATAATGCCACATGATTGCTTCCTCTGTCAGCACTTGTGCAGCTCTCGGTTGTGCTTTCCACACAGTGCATGCTGTCTGCCAGGCTGCTGTGTGCCTCAATGGGGAAATATCTTCTTGAAGGGAACCCAGCAGGCACGTTACACAGCAGAAGCAGAGCGCGTAACTCTCTCCTGTCTGTGTCTCATAGACACACCTGTGCAGGCTCCAGTGATCTTGAAGCCATCTGATTTAGTCATGCAGTTTCTTCATCTCATGTCTTTTTGACCAAAACTAGCTTTGAATAAAAACTAAGTAAAATATATTTCTTTTCAGGAAAGCAGATGTTGGCTTGAGACTGTTACAGGTGGCCTTTAATGTCTGGGTCTTATATTTGTAGTTTCACTGGAGGTTCTCCAAAGAAGACATGCACAACAAACCAATGAAGAAATCGAGGAAGACTAAATTAGGTTCTGGGGAGAAGCAGATGGCGGAGAAGCAGGAATTTGAAGTCACGGAGAACACGAGAAACTTAGCAGCACAGCTGTCGGCCGCATCAGGGCCTGGCTCCGAGCAGCAGCTGGACGGTGTCATAGACTTGGGGGATGAAACGGCTGGGGCTGACAGCAGGGGCACCCTCGATGATGGGGTGTCAGAGGGCACATGTCCTGCCAGTGCTGAGGCTGGTGACACCGGTGGCAGCAAGGCGCAGGCCTGTCCCAACCAGAGCACACCCAACTGCTGCGAGGAGCAGGAGGCAGCGGGGCAGGACTGCACACCCGGGCCTGACGGCTGCCAGGGAATTGACGGTGCAGCAGCGGACATGGAGCCTTCTTGTGAGTAAGGCCAATGGCTCAGGGGTTCTGTGAGTCGTTGGTATTAGCCAAGAGAAAAGAACAGATCTCGCTCATCATCTTCACTAACTCCATTGCTCAGTTCAGCATTTCTTTGGTATTCCACTTACTTTGCTCGTTAGCATGCCAGTATCTTGATGTTTTAGGTAAGTACAGGGCCTGGGCTTTCTAATGGCAAAATTCTGTTCACTTTGCAGAGTAGGAAAGGCCATCTTCTAGAGGTACAATTGAAATTAAAAATAGGGACAGAAAACAGGCTTGGGCTTTTCTGTGACTGACATGGCACAGTAGGTTTGTATCTAGTGCAGGGCAAACATTCCACTTGGTCAGAATTTATTGTCATGTTTTCTTGTCCACATATCTTTGCAGGAGAAGTTCTCGTGCCGTATGCTAGTTTGTCATTAAGCTTGTAGTGTCATGAAAATGGTTTTTGAGCTTAAACAGGCTGAAATCTGAAAGCTTAGGTAAGACGGCCATATCTATATTTGTCTCCAACAGCAGAGTTACCATTGACATTTTCTCCTGAATTTTATTAACTTTTGCAGATCTTCAAGCAATAAGCAAATCATAAACCTGCTTTAGGCACACTGAGAAAACAAAACTCATGATAAATTTGTGTAAGGCAGATGATCTCAATATAAAATGACATTTACTATTCTATTAAGCTTATGTTCTCTTTGCCAATCGATGGTTCAGTGGGGTTTCAGAAGATAGGGAAACAGAGGAGAAATTAAGGCAGGTAAGATGTGCTTCTTTTGGTTGCTCTCTTCACTAAAATTGGAATTTGATGTCACCATCTGACCTTCTCACGTCATTTTGCACCACTTCCTTGTTGTTGTGAAATACGCTGTGGGAAAGAACTGATAGCAGCAAATAGCAGGGTAGTGGCCTTTGCGTGTCACTAGATGATATTACAGAGTACAAATACCTTAATAGAGAGCTTTTTAAAACAAGTAGTGGTGTTTTGGGACGATACCTCACAGAATTCTGTTACGCTACCAACATTTTTTGTTTGGGGGCGCTATGTTAAAATATTTACAAGTGAATGTACATGTGTAATATAGTTTCTGAACCAGTATCTCCAAGAACTTCAGTGTACCTAAAAGGTAGGAAGTAGTTAACTGTTTCTCTCTTCTTTACCACCTTGATCCCTGTTTAGAAGTGGTCAAGCAATCTGGTAGAAGGGTGAGAAATACGTTTTGAACTTCCCTGGTTTTTTTTTCTTCTGTTCCTTTTTTTTTTTTTTTTTAAACAAGAGCTCAGTTAAGTCATTTGTTAGCTTTGTCCCTCAACTAGTTTGTGCCCAGCAATTTTCCTGTCTTTAAACCAAAATGCTGTACAGTGAAAGAACTGTGTTCTGCATCAAATGCACACCTGGCGTGGTTAAAAGCATCTTCTGTGCCTGAAAATCATACGGCTTGCAGAGCACTGCAGAGAAGGGAAAAATCATCCCATTTGGAAAATTCCTTTATCGGGACAATGGCACTCAAGTTGAAACCGTTCCATTTCATACACATAAGGCACGGGAGGATTTTTTTTCGCTGACTGAAGAGTATTCATTTTGAATTTGGTGGGTTAACCACAGGACTGTGAGTAACTGGTGGTATTTTTCAATTATTTCACTCTGTTTCTCCATATTAAGCTGACGTTCCAATAACCTCAAAAATGTGTTATTTCAGTTGTTCCACATACAGACAAGGTCTCTGCTCTGGACAGTTCTAAGTAGCTGTTTGCAACTTTTATTAGCATAAGATTTCTACTGATGGTTTCTGTCTTAAGGACTAGCTTTATATTAATCTTGTTTAAAAATGTACGGTATTTAATGAACATTTTACTAGTAAAAATGTTGCAATAGATTGAACTTGCCAAATACTTCTGAATAGAAAGTGTTTATCGGATTGCAATTTGACCTTGTTTGCATCCCAACTGCTTACAAAACAAGAGAAATAAAGTTCATGAGGAGGTTTCCTATTTGTGGTAATTGCACAGCTGCTAATTATTTGTCCCCAAAAGGAGGAACTCAGGGTCTCTACGTGGTAAAGAAGTGAAGCTGCAGATGACTGCCTTAGCACGTGTTGCTGAGTGCTGCAGCCCGCTCTGGTTGTCTGTCAGCAGTCTGGCAGAGTGTGAGGAAGCTCACTGCTCTAAGTGAAAGCCTGGTACAGAAATTCATTCCTGTAGCTGCTGGAGCGGCTTAAAGTTGGGAAGACTTGACAAGAAATACATGTTTTTCAGTTTAAAAAGGGCAAATGGTTCAAATGGTCATGTAATTATTTCCAGCCTGGGACTCTGACTTGTTCTCAGTCAATTCAGCAGTCTGGAGCTGTGTGCTTGCCATCCCCACGCCCCTGTCTTAAGAAGAGTGAGCTTCCATCACTGTGCAGACACGACACAGATGTGAGGAGTGCTGGCAAAGGCAGCCTGTGGCCACAGCAGGAAGGCTCTGCGTCTGCTGCATGTGTTTTCTACCTCATCTTACCAGCCGTTTTAGGCTTGAAAAACCAAGACCACAGTTGTCAAGGAAATGAAAGTAATCAGTCGTCACTGTATTTGAAGCCTGAATAGAGGAGAAGGATGGCCAGGCGAAGGCTTACCTCCCTGAGCAGTGAGGGGCAGTGTCCCAGCAGTGGGGAAAAACTGAAGGGACCGTTACTCAGAGCAGCCACAGCTCTGCAACAGAGTTTGTCACCCCCAGGTGAAGGAAGAGAATGAAGCCAGGCTCTTTCCTCTCTGTGGAGAGCTGCTGTGTTAAGCTCAACTGGCAGAATCTTCCAGTGGGAATGCAAACTGCTCTTGCTGTGCCTCTCTTGGAAGGGGACAGCAGCATGCATTGCTGCACACCTCAGCGAGGAGCTGTGTTAAGGGCTGTTCCAGGTGTGGGCTGCTGACTGAAGGACTGCAGCACAGGCAGGTAGCACTCCACCCTTCTTAACATAAGCGCTGCCCTTCTCACATCAGCCAGACTCAGGGTGTCAGCCAGGCACAAGAGCTGCCTCTGAAGGAAGAGCATGTGTGTTACTGACAGGAGTTATGCAGGCTGCTGCTGAGAGCAAGTGGTCATCTGAAGGAGGTAATCATTAAACAGTATGAGTTTGAAGGAAGGAACCAGCTCAGCCAATTAGGGAATAGAAAGATTGAATGTGGATAAAGAAGAGGATAAGCTAAATGATGGAAAAGAGATTTCATATTGAAACCATCAGCAGGAGGTGGTGACAGGGAGGTTGAACCAAAGTGGAATGAAAGTCCAAAGCGCTGGGACATTCTCATAGTTTATGTGAACTTGTAAGACAGGCTAAATGCACAGATGTGCCTGGCACTTCATCTTGCAGAGCTTCTTTAATTTGTGCTGTGCACTGCAAAACAAAACCACTGAAATAGTAGCTCAGAGTAGCTTTAACATATGCATGGAAATGAAGCTGTGTAGAAAATAACACTGTCATGCATTCTTTTTTTCCTAATTTGGCTCCTGTATCAGCCTCAGTTTCTGCAGTGAGCAGTTGGTACTGTGCTTTCTCTTTGTAGTTCCCGTGACTCTGTACATTTGCCTCGGGGAGCCAATTATAGGGCAGAAATAAAGCACTATCACATTTTCATGCAGCATTTTCATTATCCTGTAACTAAAAAGCATAAAAAGAGCCAGGTACTAATTTCTTGCTGAAAAACATTCCACAAAGGTACGAGGAGTGCTGGTCACCACTGCAGTGCGCCTGTGGGTCTGGAGCCGTGTCCCACACTGGCAGCAGGGATGTGCTTCTGGAGTTAAAGGCTGTCCTGACACAGGACTCAGCAGAACGCAGCCTGCAGAGCTGTGGGTGGTGGCTGCCTCTCACCATTCCCTCACCAAACACTGGAGGGCTGCAGAAAAGGCTTTTCCCTCAAAGCGCTTTCTTTCATTTGCTCTAAAAGCACTCTACGAACTAAAGCACTGTAATAACTGAATAGTCACTATTTTCCAGTTAATGAATGCAGATCCAATAGGAATACTTCATATCCGTTGTACCGATGAGCAAACAGTAAACTGATAAAACATCACAGGAGGAGGAAAACATTCAGTGTAGTGAGGCTGTAGCACAGGTAACTCACAGGCCAGTGTTTCTTGGAAAAGAAGTAAATATTGGTCTACTTTTTCATCTTCCCTTAGTTGGTGGCAAGCATATAAGATGAATAAATATTTTCTAAAATTAAATACTATGCTTTGACAGTGTGAAGAGAATGTTTCTCCAGCTCAGCAGCTTCTGAGCAGCAGGGGTTGGTTTCTGTTTCCTTCAACAGCATCACAGTCAGTTAATTATTTGTACAGCCTATGCTTATATAGGTTAATTTACTTTTCTGCTTTTTTTGCCTTCAGTTACAGTGGAGTGAGATCCAAGGACAGAGTTGAAGGTGAAACTGAAGTTTCACTACAAGACCATTAAATTCTAGAAAGAAGATGCTTCCAAAGTATTCTTGTGTATCAACAAGAAAAGGCTGTGCAGTTAGGGGAAGTTCATATTTACAGCCATTCTGCATTGTGGAATTCAGGTGCCTTGTGGCAGCATAACCACTCAAGGTAAGAAAGAACTCATTAACAGCAACTGAGGTGAATGCTGTGGGGTGACTTTACTTATTTTTCATTTTTCCATCTTTTGCTGCTGTGATGAGCATGGGTGTGGGTGGACAGGGGAATTCGTAATACCCCTGTACAAGTAGGTGAAACTGTACAGTTAAGGAGATGTGTCCTTGCCTCATAGCTCTCAGTCTGAGTGTAACAGAGGATGACAGAAAGAGGTTAGAGGGAACGAAGATGATTACAGAAGCAAAGGGTTTAGAAATGCCTTTTGTTACATCTATATTTTGGTATAACTCTGAGAAGCGGTTTGTGAAAGAGATGCAATTTGTGCTAAAGAAAGCATGTGCATTAAGGAAAATAAATGGCAAACCACTTTATAATACACTTAGTAGTTTAAAAATCATAAGGAAAACAACATGCAAAGGCTTACCCCAATTTTCTTACCATTACATTGTAAAACACAGAGGAACACAGTCTGGTTTTTATTTTAGGGCACCAACACTTACCCATAGCCCAATTTATTGCACTTTTCCAAGAAAAGAACCCTGCTTCCTTCAAGCATCAATCTCTGACCTGTCAGTCACGATCTTCACGAAGACAAAACCCCATGGTTTTATTGTTCATGACAAGCACGCTGTCCTATTTACATTCTGGAGTGAATGAACAAGGAACTGTTCTTTGCGATAGAGTATTCAGGCACTTTCCCCTCATTTCAGTCAGAGAGAATGTGATGCGACGTTCCCTCTGGGCCTGCAGTGACTGATGGGGGATAAGCAGTTGCACCACGCGGGCAGTGTTGTATAGTACAGAAGCACCAGACCCACTGTATGGGGCTGCCATCGCTGGGAGATGAAGACTTACAGGCAGACCCTCAGTGTGGTGCTGTCCCCTGAAAGCCTGAGACAAATCTTTAAGATCCATAATTCAGCACTTACCTCTTTGGGATGGAACACAGGGCCTTGTTTCCTTAAGTTCTGCTTGTTCTGAGCTGCAGGAAGTACAGAGTTCCCCTTCTGACACTCAGTGTGCTGAAAACCTCCAGGACTATTTCAGCCAGTCATCTGCAACTTCTGCACCAACTGCCACGCATTCCAGTCCTGTTCTTATGCTGCACTCAAAGCTGGGGCCAGGAGGTGCCTCGTTTGTCTGTCTCACTGTGTTTGTAGGCAAGGTGTATGTAGATGAGGCAGTGGAAACCTACAGGCTATGTATCCTACACTCACTAAGACCGATAGAAAAGGTTTGGAGTGGCAAGGCTCAGCGTGAGCTAAAAGCAAAGTGGAGGGATGCTGAAGGGAGAAAAGTTGCCGTGTTACCTATTGGAGAACTGTCATTTAACCCAAAGAAAAAAGCCACCAACAAAGAATATATCTAACATTTAAAAATAATATTATATTAATTAGTGTTTTCATTAATTTAGGTGTTCCTTTTTTGAAGTCTTCAGGTATAAACTGGGAATCTACTACTTAAGGACCTGAACTATTTTGATGATTAACTAATTTGTTCACTGTGCCTTTCTTTTTAATTATTCTGAACATTTCTATGATGTGTTTTTCTGCAAAGAGAGGCAATAATATGTTGGCTTTGTACTCCGAAGCACAGTCACACCTTTAAAGAGTGAGGTTTTGAGAGCCTTTTTTTTTCAAACACTACGAAAGAAAATATGCTGCTACCCAGAAGTAGGCAAACCATCCACAAACGAGAACAGTTGACGGCTTTAATATAAAATCACTTTTCAAAAGCAGCAGCACTGTGTTACAGTTGTATTACCATTAAATTAAAGAAACACTGTCAGGATTGAGGACAGCTTAATCTATGAAATGAAATCTTCGAAGTAATTCAATTCCATCTCCTGTACATTTTATCTCATCAGAATACTCCAAAACCAGTTTATTTTCTGTTCATTACCACCATTTCTCAAAGAAAACACAGTTCCTATGAACACCGGAGTTGTACAGCAGTTGGGAAATAGATTCTATCATTGGAGGTGGACCACAAATGTACCACAAAGTATCCTTAGATACATGTTTTTCTAGATCCTTTCCAGATATTCTTCCCTCTGACAAAAAAAAAGAGAAAAAAAAGAAAAAAAAGTAGGAAGTGAGAACAGAAATACTTACTCATGTAATTTCAAAAAGAGCGAGCAGTTAGGGGTATTGCAAGTGCTCATTTCCTAAAAGCATCAGGCCTAGTTAAGGACAACAGGTAAGTTTTGAGGCTTACAGAACAATTTGTTTTCCTGGGGATTTAGAGCCCTACTTCCAGTTGGAATGCATGGGGTATTAGTCACTGAACATGGCTAACTTACAACTAAAAATCCCATATTCAGATGAAAAAACAGATAATTATCTCAAAGACAAATACAACAGAAATGGAAATGCGATGAAGTGCCTCTTGCAAATAGTCATCTCATCCTTCATCAGTCTTACACAAAGTAAAGCTGTTGCTGGAATAAGATTTCAGTGGGAAATACCAGTACAAAGTTTAGCAGAAGCAGTTCAGTAGAAGGGGAAAAAAAACTGCAGAAGTATAGCTTTTGTCCAAAGCATAATAAATACACTGAAATTATATACGTTTAGCTCACATCTCATTTTAAATCTTTAAAAATACTAACTTATGTAGGTAAGTGTACACTAGAACTAATTGTATTCAACTTCCTCCTCAAGGAGGTAATCAGACTTAGCACTCGACAAATGAGCACAGTGCCACTGTGCGTACCTGTGATGTGGGGCTGAAGTTCTTCACAGATGGGTGAATTCTGCTGGGTAACGTGGAAACGACATGTGATCTTTCCAGGAAGTGCACTCATCAAACCGAGAATATTTTTCTGTAATGTTAAACATACTTTCTTATACCACAAGCCATTAAATCAAAGCAGATGTTTGCATACTGTCCCAGAACACCAGTGATCATGAGTGAGTACCACAACTTTTGCATTTCAGCACTGAGTACTCTGTGGGTTTGACTTCAAAGGGCCGATCTGCACAAGTAAGCTGAATTTCTATACCTGGAATCTGAACATGCTACTAGCTCTGTGAGTGCTTTCCTCCTGTTTTACAATAGGTTGTAATTTGTAAGATTTGGATCTAAGAATGAGTTACGTATGTCCTTTCCTGGTTTTTTCCCACTAAGTTTGTGTTCTTTTTCCTTTAATTTCTATATTTGTTTTCCATTTGGAAAACATGCAATATATGTTTACTATTTCTTACAAACTTTTTGAGTTCCAGCTCCTTTACCTTGTAAGAATATCAGATCCTTTCCTTCCTTCTCCAAGTAAAACCAACTGTGGTGTAATTCACAACTGTGATAGTTACCACCACAAACCCAGTGGCATTGGTTCAAATCATAATTAAAAACAAAACAAAACAACCAAAAAAACCCATGTCAGTTAGATGCTACAGGTACTCTGAAATGAGGATTTGTTTACTGTTTGGATTCTGTACTAATTGGAGTTTTCACTGCTGGAATGGGTACTGTGGAAATAATTTCTATTCTGTGAAGAGGTAAATTAGCTCATTTCACTATGTTGCTTACAGACCAGTTACTGCACTGAACAGACTGCTATGGATTACTTAACAAAAAAAGAAAAAAAAAAGTCATTTTATCCAATAGACAGTTTCTGTTTCTGACTCCCTAAGAAGATGGGGAATAAAGAACAGCAGATAAGGCACTGCTGTACACCGTTCCACTAGTAAATACCTCTAGTGTCAGCCCACTTTCACTGGTCCACATGGAACTATAAACTCCTTTGCCTCCATGTGGAACCACGTACAATTTCATAGCATTTTTGAAACAACCCATGTCCCAAGACCTACCTGGAAAGTGTACCAAAACAGTTTAAGGCAGGCCTTAACATGCTTAAATAATGTTGCAGTCATTCTCAGCATCTACTTGTAACCTACCTCTCTGTGACTCAGAGACAAGGACAGAAAGTGGCAGGTATGATTCATGGGACATAAACCACCACGTAATGTCTTCTAGTATCCTAGAGCTACAGACAGGAGGAAGGACGAAGGAGAATGTGAACAGCTCAGCAGGATCTGTGCAGCCTCGTAAGCTGCTGTACAAACTAAAGCAAACGGCTGAGCAGTACAGATCTAAGGGAAAACATCTATCCCACTGTCCCAGCCACAATAAAGGACAACATTCAGTCCACATGAAATGAGCTAAATGGCATCTTGAAGTAGTCAATTAGTATGGTAGTCTTTGTAATCTAAAGATTGCATGCTTCTCCTATTTCAGAGAACAAAATTTTCAAAGCAGTGCATATACCTGTGAAACCAGAGCACATGCCAAATGAGTACCACGCTGAGTAGGCTGACAAGCCGAAGGACAGCACTATACGTAGGTTGCTGCTTCAGAGAATGTGTTCTCCAGAACATCAGAGAAACCTCAGAGTTCCTCATGGTGATATTTGTGTGTCAGTCTCTCAAAAACACAAAGCCCAGCAATCCTGTTTCCTCAATCCTCTGGGCAAAACTAGTAATGGATCCTTTATACTGTTTCTAGAATAATCATCAACTCGCTCCTTGATCTTAAAAGTTCTCAATTCTTCAGAAAACCTGTATCATTAGGGATGCTTCTTTACAGAAGCTGTCCTAATGTGACCCTAAAACATCATCAGTAGCCCTTAATGGCTGAATGTGTAATAACTGATCTTAAACTTGTAAGTAAATGCTTACAAAGTCCTGTTTCAAGTGACTTGTAAGAACTGCTGATAAACTCCTTTCTGGTGCCCAATGATGTATTATCAACAAAGCTTCTGTATAAGTTCGGTAAGTTTTCCCTTTGTATGTAGTTGCTCTTACTAATCTTTAAATTCAGCATAATCTGTACTGAAGTTACGTGGTGATCCTATTACAGTAAACAGCATTACACATACTACTACTATGTATACAGACAAATATATTACAGTGTATATGATGTCTGATATACCATGATGCTCTTACAAGATTATAGGAAAACGCTGCCATGCAGGGCTAGTCAGCCTACAGTGAAATCAATGCAAGCAGGTATGTCCAACAACGTCTGAAATTTGACAGATGCACATTATTTGTGCATAAGTAAATAAGAAAACACAAACGGGATTTGAGGCAGAAAGTAACTTTTGCTTGTCTGAACAATATCTTACACAGAAGGAGTTCTTTGTGACCTGGCAACAAAATGATACATGTACTGATTGCTGAATATTAGAGTTCATTTTTTTTTAGTTATTGTTTACCTTAAATAAGAGTTCATTTGTATTTTTTGCACTGTAGTACAGCTTCACTGTTCCCATTTTGTATCCATTTCCTTTACTCTCTTGGTATCCATGAAGATCTGCTACATGCAGCAGTATAGAAAACAAGGGGTTAATTCCAACACCCCCTGCTATTAGCACTAGCTTTACAGGGGTGTCACCAGGCTGAGGATCAAAGAAGAAATCACCTCCCACTCGCAGAGCAACTTCTGAGTCAAGAGTACACTAGGATGGAAAAGAAGATATTTAATTTCAAAACTCAAAACAAGTCTGAAATAGTCTTCTTGCATCATAGAGTCACAAGATGCGCTGAACTGTGAGTTTTTATTCTTACTGACCAATGAGGGAAAACTAAGGGATTGTAAAATAAATGCAGTTATCTGAAGTCATGTATTACAGTGTTCTCTAGAGATCTGTTGCTACTTTCAGAAGTTTCAGTCTTCTGATAAGGCAGGACAGTGCGTCCCCCTTTCCACCTCCAAAAGAGCTGAGAGAAGAATGACTCATGTTTTCCAACAGCAGTATTTGATGTGAAACTCCAAGGTTAACATGCAAGACCACAATTTTACCCAAGAACAGACTCATGTTAGAAAAGGCCCTGCTGTGAGGACATGGAAGTCAGAACGAGTTGCATAGACAAGATTTTTCTGTCCCATTCCAAAAAAATAAGAAACCACCCAGAAGTGAAGCAAGTATCCACATGAGTATTTCTTGCAGAGCCACTTCTGCATTTGCAGCTTAGAATTACAGAAGAAAAATAGAGTGAAAACCTCCCTCTCTCCTGGGACAGAAAAAATTGATTCTTAGGAGAAACTTGCCAAAGCATGGTGGGTTTGGAGTTTTTTTTTGAGGAGGAAAGACATATGGAAAATGAAACTACGATAAGTAAAACATTTGGGTCACTGTCCTCTTGGTAACCAAGTACTGCTTGTTGGAGGCTGAAAATGTAGTACAGAGGAGTCGGGTGAGTTCTCCCACATCACTGGAAGTTAACAAAATCAACAGGAGCAGAAAACACAGCTCATTTTAGACCATATCCAGGGTGGGTAAACAAAAGGAGGGGAAAAAAAGAAGAAAAACAGTAACTGAAACAAAAGAATTTCCATCATTGACTGTATAGTAAGCAAAGGCCTGAACACGTGACAGTTCTAGAAGGAAAAGAGGCTTCAGCAGGTAGTGAACAGAACCAAGGAGTTCCTAAAGTAGCAAGCACAACCAATGAGAACAAGGTTTCTTGTCTTTCCTAATTACTGCATAGAAGTATAACCACTCAGCTGTAGTGTAAGGCATTCAGCATTTATAACCTGAAACTAATTTCTCTATTTTCAATGTAAAGTGCAGGCTTTCTCACTAAATTTCACTGTTAGAAATAAGCATGAATCCAGATGTGTTTCAGATTCATGCTGCGGAGGGAGGACATAGGATATGGTATCTTTAGTGGAAATAGTTTTAGACCAAAACAATCTCATTCTTGTCTAATCTGACATGCCTTAGATAAGTGAAGCATACAATCCACTCATTAAATACGAATATCTCTGAAAATAAGTTACACTAAGTAAATCCATACTGTTCCCATGGCATCTTTTACTCTGAGATACCAATTTCCTTTATAAGTAACCTTTAAACAATTGAGATTTTGTTTCACCATACAAACAACCTGCTTAAATTCTAGGTTGCCAGGCTTCAATTCTTTTCTCAGGTGAAAGGATGCACTTTTGATTAGATAGAGTAGTCAATACACACCTGACAGGTCTTTCTACAGGATCATGTTTGAACTAGCTCAGCTTCTAACTAAAGATGTTCCTGTAAATTCAACCAGAAAATTCATCAATGGCAAAATGAATGTGACATCGGAATTCCTAGACAGCCTCCAGAGACTGGGAATTATGAAGTTAGGCCCTCATTCTCTCTGAAGAGCATCACCAAAAGACAGGGCACTGTATTTTAAGTATTGTGTTTTTCTGCTGGCATTCCTGCTACACTTTCTGTACATCTCAAAAAGGTTTAAGTCCCAGTGGAGGTAACTGCATATAACCCTGAAATACTGTGGATGGCCTCATGGTAAGTGCTAGATGAGCATCACTTCAGATACTGTCAATTCTTATAAACCTGAAAGAATCTATCAATTTAAATCCTGCAGCCACGCATGAATGCCAGACAGGAAGCAGTAAGTGTACAGATCATAGAACAGGATGTGAAAGGAACAAAAGTTGACAGGAAAGATCATCAATGAAGTACAGTCAGCAGTGGATAGTACTCTTCTGACTAACTAAGCGTGCTAACCAGATGAACAAAACATTGCAAGAGGCCAAATTGTCAGACCTTAATTTTAACATAGCAAAAAATCAAGTCTTAGATTTTCTCAATGTGACAAAAATGTTGGAAACTTAAGAGAATACTACAGAAATTCTGGATTTCACTGCATTCAGTTTCAAAGGTGTGGGAACCCTTAGAGATTGCAATATCACTAGGCCCACCATGCACAAATTGAGACAAAAGATCACAGTAACTAAATTACCATATCAGTATCCTATTTCAAGGTTTTAACATTTAAAAATGATGGAACAAATCAAGAGGAGTTTCGTAGTCAATATAAAAAGTAGACTAATACACTACCCCCAGAAAATGAAAAAACGTGCTAAATGCACAATCAGTAGTTTATCTCATTTACCTCAGTGTGAATCCAGCGAGCAGGAGGATGATCAGTGTACTTCACTGCAAGCTCTATCACTCCTTCTCGCTCCAATAGACCCGGGCTTGAACACATTGAGAATCCCCCAATCACAGATACCCCAGGAATAAAGAAATCAACCCTAAAAATTGGTCAGAAACAAAAACTGAAACATAGAATACAGTGACTAAAACAAAACTGCTGGCTTTATTTTAGTTACATGTTCTGTACAGAAATATTTTCACTTCCAGAACACAACTTTTCAAAAAAATTGACCTAATCTTGAGTAACATCTAGAAAAATCATCTAGAAAAATCATTACCATTACTGTACTGTCAGGATTTTAACCTGTTTTGCCTTCAGCATTAGGTGTAACATCTTGCAGTAGATTAGAATTATAAGTGTTTAAGTAAATAATTGACTTAGTAAAAACACAGCAAAAAACATCATAAGGCCTAACAGAGTGGTTTAAATCCCACTCTTTTCAGTGCCTTTGTGGAGTGGAAATGCTGAGTCACAGCTCCAATCAGTAATTGAGCACCTGGTAGGAAAGCAGGGCCAACCCAGGGGAGCTCAGCTACAAGCAGTGCACCTGAGTGACTGGAAGGGCTGGAGCCAAGACTCACCTCTTCCCAGACCTCACTGAAGGGTTGGCAGTGGAGGCAAGGGCATCTCTCTAGAGCTCCCTGCCTATCTGGGGCCTTCCAAAGGTAAGCAGTTTCTTTCCTTTATTTCTGAGCCCATGGCTATTGCATTTGAGCAAGCGCTTGCTTGCTGCAGCCTGGGGTCTTGCTATTCTGCTGTCATTGCCGTGCTTTCCATTTGTTACACTTTGTTATTTCCTTTTTTCTCAAACAAAGAAAGGTTGGAAAACTAACTTTGGGGAATATAGTTTTGAATTAACACTTTCTTTTCTTGGGAAGATTAAATATCTGGAGGAAAAAGAGTAAAAAAAAATCCTTATGTGAAAAGTTACTAGTTACTACTTATTGAACTGCATTGCCCTCTGGTGGCAGATGTCTTTTCCCAGTTGGCAGTGAAGGGGAATAAATTACTACAATTTCTTTTAAGCAAAACAAAATCATTCATCAGTTTCTGGAAATGAGCAGTTAGAACACACGGCTGACTTTCTGCAATACCAGCAATTAGAGAGAATGGAAGGCAAGTCATTACTATGCATGAACTGCAATGTATTTTCATGAAAGTAAGGCTTTGACACTCCAAGTAGTAGGAAAAGTTTGATGTTAGTATATAATCTAACACTTAAATTCCTCAGTGTCGCCAAAACATTTAAATGCATCAATTTTCTTAGCAGATAACAAAATGTGTTTCAAAATAATTCTAAAGTTTAAAATTAATTGTGCTCCTCCACTTAAGAAACAACTGCACTGGTAAGCAATGCCAGGTACTTTGTAATGATTTCTCAATGCAAACTGTAGTTAAGCCAGCTCGGCATTAGTTAAATGAGATGTAACATGAAGTAGCTGGCCTCCACTGCATAAATATTTTCTTTAAGCACCAAGGCTGTATTCTGCATGGAGATCATATTAAAAAAAAAAAAAAAGGAGGAGATCAGCATTTTGATTGGCTTACTACTTGAAGAAAAAAAATCTTTTCTGCTCACTTCCTACAAAGCTTCACCCTTCAAAGAAACCTATTCTCTTTCCCTTGAAGTGAGTAGTGCACAATGCTATGGTGATACAAGTGTCTAGGCTAATAAACTTGATGGCTTGTAAAAGTGCAACTGTCAGTTCACTGCAAATACCTAAGACCAACAGATCCAAAAAATCTGGCATTTCACTTTGTATTTTTGCTTTCCTCAGTTTCTACAGCTTCTCTGACAATAAAGCTCAGCATCTCTAACAGTCAGAATCAAAGACATGAAAGGATGATTCTTCGGCTGCAGCACTTACTGTACCAAAGGCTCAAGAAGCTACTGCAGCTCTTTACCACCCTCTGGTGGAAAATTACCTTACATTCCAGACCAATGAAAAGAATAAGAAATTATATTTATGCTGTAAAACACCACTTTACATTCAAGTTATGTTCTCCTTGACATGTAAGGGTGAAATTCTTCATGCCTAGCGTACTCCTCTTTTTATGTTAGCACTTCTTTCCCAATGATATCATGATGAGAGATTTCAGAACATAGTATACTGTAGCTTGTGGACTAGTTTGTAATTCTGATGGCATGTCTCAGCTGCGTGCAAGGAGGGTAAGACCTCAGATGAAATGCACTATGTGACAACTTAAGTAAAAAGGAAAAAATGAACACATTGTATAACTTCACAAAAAGAAAAGGCACAAAAAGAGGTAGAATAGAGAAGATGTTAGGGTTGCTTCTCATCTTCCTCCTTTTAAGGGCTACCTAAGCCAAGTATTTAAGAAAAGAATAACTATCAGCAGTTGCTGAAGATAAGAAACAAAACCTTAAAGCTACTTCTAAGTTATTTATAACATACATATACCTCAGTGCTTGCTTTAAGAAATTAAAACAGATAACAGCAACAAGTCTTCACTATTACTTAAGTCAGATAAAGGCCAACATCTACCAGCATGCCAGCAAAACATTCACTTTTGATTTTGAAAAACTGGCTAAACAAAACACTTTCATACATACACATGTTCATATTAGTGACAGTCTTTGGCTGTAACATCCTGCTATAGCAAATTCTAACAAATTAGCCTTTTCTACTCAGGAAATTGTGGCCTGGTATTTTATACCACTCATCAAAAAATGTGACCACAGTTTATAGCTGCAAATATAGAAAAGTTGTTGTATCCCTTACAATAGCATTAGAATGCTTCAGAAGAAAAAGAAAATGAAAAAGAGTAATTATAATTAAAGCTTTCAGTATGATAATTGCTAGAGCATTTTTGGAGGGTAAATGAACTTTCTGAGTACGGGCAAGCAAGAATTTTAATATGAGTCACTGCACATGTGCAAAAACTGCAGCAAATTACTCTACAAACACAAATTATTGCAATCAACATCTTGTGTTCTGGTTCTAAATTTAAAAGCCAGCATATTAACACAGTAAAAGTAATGTATGCTGTTAATACCCTTGCAGCTATAGTTTGATTACAGTAAAACCACTTTCAGATGGCCTAAGCCAAGAAAAAGTTTAAGAATCTTTCAAATGACCAATGCAAAAGCAAGTACTCATATTTTTTAATTAATCTTTGAAGGGGGAGAAAAAAAGTGATGGAGTGAGAGCATTTCTTAATAAGAAAAGAAGACAAACATGAAAATCCACTGTGTTCCTATGGGGGGGGGGAAGGGGGAAGAAGAGCTGTTTAAGCATTTGCTTAAACGATTAGCTAATTACTTCAGAGGTTCAGCAATTAGACTTTATTTTCAAGTTTGCAGATTGTATTTCTATATGGAGCTTGCCTACCAGGCCCTTTCTGAGTGGAAACTTCCAAGGGGGAAAAAAAAAAAAACAACAAACAACAAACAGGCAATTCTGCTTTAAGTACAAAATTAAACTGAAAATATTAATAACTTCATCAGCAGCAGTCCCTGCTATACTGTAAAAAGAAAAAAAAAAAAACAAACAACTGGTAAATAAAAACTGTAAAGAACTTGCAGAATAAAGTGCACTGTACTTCAAAGGTGGTTGGACTTGATGATCTCTTTAGGCCCCTTTCCAAATGAAATATTCTATTGTATTCTATCCTAAGATACTATTGAAGAAGTCTTGTAACACATAGAAACCAAAGAAAAATATTTTTGCTCTTTAGAAATAAGTATTAGAATATTTAATAATAATTAGCCGTATAACAGCATCTCCTCTGAGCCATGAATAATAAAACATCTTAGAGTCATAAAACTGTTTGAGTTGGAAGGTGCCCTCAGAGGTCATCTAGTCCAAGTCCACTGCCATGAACAGGGACATCTACAGCTAGATTGGGTGCTAAGAGCTCTGTCCAGCCTGGCCTCGGATGTCTTCAGGGACACAAGGCTTCCACCACCTCTCTGGGCAACCTGTTCCAGTACCTCACCACCTTCACTGCAAAAAACTTCTTCCTCATATCCAATCTAAATCTGCCATCTTTTAGTTTGAAGCCCCTTGTCCTATAACAACATCCTATTATATAAATTACTACCATTTTTCAGTACCCAATTATTAGAAGCCATTAACACTTTTTTACAGTGCACTCTGGCTAGTGATTTTTCCCTTATATATCATAAGGTCTTACCACTGTCCCGCTTTGAAAGTAAAATCTTTATTTGTGATGGCCAAACGTAGTCTCTTAACTGTCTCTGATTCATTGGTGATTCCACACACTTTGGCTTGTGAAATTACCTAACAAAAGAAAAATAAGTACCTGCATGATGTGAACAGCATTTGCAGCAAAAGTACTCCAGAATCTCTAAGTGAGATACCTGGCACTTCACGTTACCTGCACCATTTCACTACCTAAAGCACCAACATTTTTTCCTTTTTGTAGAGAAACAAGAATAGATCCAGTTAGTGAATGCAGAAATGGATTTGTACTTACAGACCACCATGTTTGCACGAAGCAAACGCTCCTTTATCTTCCCAGCAACAACAACAAGTCTCTGATGTGAAAATTGACAAAGGAAACATGCGAAAGCTCAGCTGTTACTGAAGTCACTGGGAGAACTCTGGATTTGTATTTATTTCACATAATTGAATGTCTTGTGTTACTGATTTACACACATACCCATTTGACCATATATATATGATCTCTGAACACAGGAAACTGACACAAGCATTCATTTCTAGTTAACATAAGAGTTTTGTTTGGCAACCAGATGGGAGGGGATGGGAAAACTGTAGTGGAAGGGTGGGAGGAAGGAAGGAAGGGTGGGAGGAAAGCAGGAAGGAAATAAAAAGCAAACCTAGCTACAGGATCACGAGGAGGAGTTTCCCACTTTATTACACGCAATTTAAACACTTTGATGCCCATCAGTACAACACAGATGATAAGATAAAAATGCCTGATGATGAAAGATGGAGAGGAGATGATAATTATCATATTTTTACTTCTACAAATAAAGTAATGCTATATTTTCTAAACAGGCCAATATATACATACTCTTAAAAATGCAAATGCCACTTACTAAATTAGGAAATATGAGTAACTCGCCACAACTTCACCACTTCTCATTTGTGTAAGATCAAATAGATCAACTAGATCAAAAAAACAACTTAAGAAGCTATGCTCTAATTTAAAACACATGGCAGGAAATTAATTTCTTCATAAAGCAGCATCTGAACACATCTACTGTCCCACAAAACAGCAGGATGTTTGCCAATTTAAAATAAAGTAGCAAACGTTTCCTTTTCACTTTAGCAGATACTATTAAAAGGGAAAAGCAGTCTTTCTCTGTTAACAAGACAAATGTCAGATTAATTACTTAAATGGTTGTTTTAATGGAGAAACTTTAAGTGCAGGAAATTGACGTTAAGCGTGGATCTTCTTCCTTCCCTTCTTTACTCTTCTGAGCACTCCCCAATTTGTTGTTTGGCCAATATATCTGATAGAGCACTGGAAATGTAATCCTTAATCAGTATACTACAAAAGTTAAATTTGTCAGGGTGATCAAAGACCTTCAGACAGTATTTTTGGAACATCACAAGTGTGATGGCCAAAACACAGCAAAACTGCAGTGGGACACTATTTGGGACGTTGCCATTTTATTTCAAAGCACTTTCTCTTGTTCTTGTCCTTCACGTTACCAGTCTTCAACAGGAGATACAGTTTGGCATGCACACTAATGCAACACAGATCTCTATGATTCTTTCATCTTTCTAAACGTCTTCAGTGGCCAAATAAGGCAATACAGACTAGGAGAAGCCAACTGCTGATTACATGGAATTTAAAACCAAGCAGAGGATTTAAAATAAACTGATTTTAAAGTGGTTGGGAAAAAGTAACAAAGAATAAATCAAGCATTTAAAAATAGAAACAACCCCCTGACATGCAGAGAATTTCTCACAGAACTGAATAATAGAATGGCTTGGGTTGGAAGAGATCCTGAAGATCATCAAGTTCCAACCCCTCTGCCACAGGCAGAGACACCAATCTCCAGATCTGGTACTAGACCAGGGCACCATCCAGCCACATCCACAGCCTCTCTGGGCAGTCTGTTCCAGTACCTCACCACTCTCTCTATGAAGAATTTCCCGCTGACATCCACTGAACCCAGTTCTTCCACCTAACTCATACAGCTTCCTTCAGACCTTATGCAGCTGTCTGTACCAGCTCAGAGCTCTCAACACCTTTTGTTTTATTTTCAAGCTGCCCCACATTTGTTCTGGGCAGAAAAAATAAGCAAGCCAAGCTGTCAGGAGTATCAAAGATGAAAACATGGTTGCAAAACTGCAAGATTTTTGTCCATGTCAGAAGCAAAAATGGGCATCTACACCTGTTGCTACACTTACTCTGTCCATGTATTGAGTTAATTTAGCATCAGTCAGACCCACCTGAAAGGCTGCTGGCCCCTACCCAAGGAAATGCTAATGCTGGACATGAGCTGCTGAAGCACAGCTCTGAAATCAATGGTTTCCAAAGTAGCTTTGCTAACAGGCATAATGAGTCTATATTTGTCTCATCCACCCACAGCCTACGCCACAGGTGCTAAATCTCTTCTAGGTATATATATGATAATATACACAACCATTAATGCTACACAGTGTGAGGCACATAATGTTCATCCTACTCTGTGGCAAAGGCAGGACTGGCCTTTCATCATCAACTTCTTAACGCTGAGAAAAGCGGTATAAAGAATGAAGAAAAACTAGGCACCACTGCCCAAAGTTCTGGGAATTAAAGACGGGGTTTATCAATCAAAAAGTGCCCTAATTCTCTGAAAAAGCCTCTGTTTGCCTATTAGAGTCCACATGACCGGAATTCTATTCAATTTCTTGTAAACAGAATCACAATAATTTTTATACCTCACTACTTTCCCTCTATTGAACCACAAAATCCACCACTTTTACAACAGTATCAAATACAAAAAAATGAGGGGGAAAAAAGTGAAAGAGATTCCATGTGAAGAGAAAATGAAGCCTATTAATTATCCAATTTCTTCACCAAAAAGAAAACTTAGTAACATCCTAAAGAACAGAACACTAACCTCCTGGCGAAAATTATTTGCTGTTCTCTCAAGGTGATCCATTTTCCTTTTTGATTGTGTTGTGCTGCAACAGGAAGCAAACAAATTGTCATTTTGGCAGCTGTACTACTGTGTCTTACTGATATGAATTTCTATTTATCCAATCCAGCAGACATTCCAGGCAGCATAATTCTGAATCAGAATTATATGCAGCAATACAAATGGGAGATTACAAAGTATTTACAGGCATGTAATAATTTGTCATTTGTTATTTCAAAGTGTTATCATGACATTCTCTTCAAAAAATAGAAGTGTTTGTAGATGGATAACTTACCCATTCACTGTACAGTAACAAGAAGCAGAGTGCCTCAACACCACCAGTGTGGAATGAGCAGGACAAAGTCTGCAGGCACTTCTCAGTAGGTGAGGAATAGTAAAGCCCATGAAAGTGGTAACACGAGCCATGATAAGCAGGCTGTCTTTAGAATCACCAGCTCCTGCAAAACCCACATTAATATTTATTAAATAAAATACCCACTGTTTGACATGGCTTGTTCTTATATACAAGTCAACAAGACTGCTGGCTAGTAACCAAGACTACCCTGAGTTTGATACTGAAGCTGGTATTGTTCTTTAACCCTACTGATAGCTTGGATGATTGTAACAGAATGTACCATCAGCAAAACTATGATACTTAGCTCTATCAAATAGTGTATTGTGCTCTTTGTATGTTATCATTTATATGGAAATTAACAGAATCATGTTTGAGTTGGACCTGGGACTAGATGGGATTCACCCAAGGGTGCTGAGGGAGCTGGTGAAGGTGATTGCCAAGCTGCTTTCCACCATCTATCAGTGTTCCTGGTCAAATGGAGGTCCCAGAGGACTGGAGGCTTGCCAGCATGACTCCCATCTACAAGAAGGATTGTAAGGAGGATCTGGGGAACTACAGGCCTGTCAGCCTGACCTCAGTGCCAGGGAAGGTTATGGAACAAATCTCGAGGGAGATCACATGGCATGTGTGAGACAACTGGGGGATCCCCAGACAACATGGGGTCAGACAACATGGTCCTACCTGACCAACCTGACCTTCTGTGATCAAGTGATCCACCTGGTGGATGAGGGAAAGGCTACTCAGATTTCAGCAAAGCTTTTCATGCAGTATTCTCCTGGAGAAGCTCACAGCCTGTGGCTTGGACAGGTACACTCTTTGCTGGGAAAAGAAGTGACTGGAGGGCCAGGCAGGGAATGCTGGTGAATGGAGTTAAATCCAGCTGGCAACCAGTCATGAACAGTGTTCACTGGGGACTGGTAGGTACTGGGGCCTATCCTGTTTAATATCTTTATTGATGACCTGGATAAGGGTATTGACTGTACCCTCAGTAAATTTGCAGATGACACCAAGTGGGAGGAAGTGTAGATATGCCTGGGGATAGGAAGGCCTTACAGAGGGATCTGCACAGGCTGAAGCCAGTGGGATGAAGTTCAACAACACCAAGACCAGTTTGGCCACAACTTCAGGCAGCACTACAGACTTGGGGCAGAGCAGCTGTAAGACTATGTGGAAGAAACAGACCTGGAGCTGCTAGCTGATGCTTGGCTGAATTTGAGCCATAAGTGCACCCAGGTGGCAAAGAAGGCCAATGGCATCCTGGCTTGAATCAGAAGTAGTTGCCAGCAGGAACAGTGAGGTGATCATCCCTCTGTACTCAGCACTAACAAGGTCACACCTCAAGTACTGTGTTCAGTTTTGGGCCCCTCACAACAAGAAAGACAGGGAGGCTCCGGAGCGTGTTCAGAGAAGGGCAATAAAGCTGTGAGGGGTCTGGAGCACAAGTCTTATGGAGAGTGGCTAAGGGAACTGGGATTGTTCAGTCTGGAGGATGTTCAGGGGAGACCTCATCACTCCCTACAACTGCATGAAAAGAGGTTGTGGTGAGGTGGGGATCAGCTTCTCCTCCCACGTAACTATTGACAAGGAGTACAGGGAACGGCCCCAAGTTGCACCAGGAGAGATTCAGGTTGGACATTAGGAGAAAATTCTTCTCTGAGTGATTACGCACTGAAACATGCTGCCCAGGGATGTGCTTGAGTCACCATTTCTGGAGGTATTCAATAAGTATTTAGATGTACTAAGGGACATGGTTTAATGGGGAAATATTGGTTGGTGGACAGTTGGACTGTGATCTTGGAGGTGTTTTCCAACATTGGTGATTCATGATTAAAGGTCATCCAGACCCATTCCCCTGCCATGAACAGGGACACCTACAGCTAGATGAGGTTGCTCAGAGCCCCATCCAGCCTGACCTTGAATGTGCCCAGAGATGGGAATTCTAACACCTCTCTGGGCAACCTGTTCCAGTGCTCCACCATCCTTACTGTAAAAAATTTCTTCCTTATATCCAACCTAAATCTCCTCTCCTTTATTTTGAAACAATTTCCCTTTGTCCTATCACAACAGACCCTGATAAAGAGACTGTCCACTTCTTATTGTCCCCTTCAGATATTAAAAGGTTGCTCTCAGATTTCCCCAGTCTTCTCCAGGCTGAATAGCCACAGTTCTATCAGTCTGTCCTCATAGGAGAGGTGGTCTAGTTCATGGATCATTTTTGAGGTCCTCCCCTGGACAGGCTCCAACAAGTCCACATCTCTCCTGTATTGAAAACTCCACATCTGGACACAGTACTCCAGGTGAGGCCTCACCAACGCAGAGCAGAGGAGCAGGATCACCTCCCTCGCCCTGCTGACCACACTGCTTTTGATGCAGTCCAGGATATGGTTGGCTTTCTGAGCTGCGAGGGCACATTGCTGGCTCATGTCCAACTTACCATCCACCAATACCCCCGGGTCCTTTTTGGCAGGGCTGTACTCTATTCTTACATCCACCAGCTTGTACTGATAGTAGGGGTCACCATGACCCAAGTGCAAGACCTTGCACTTGGATTTATTGAAACTCATGAGGTTTGTCTGGGCATGATGCTTAAGTCTGTCTAAGACTCTCTGGTTGACATCCCATCCCTCAGTCAACCACACCATGCATCTTGGTGTAATCCACAAACACACACAAACGGAGGCATTACTTTCAGAGCAACCTGCCAGCAATTTTCAAAGCAAGTCAAAAGTATCCTTAATTTATCAAATTTGGGAAAATGTTTATAGTAAGCCAAAAGTTTCTTACTGCTTGTAAATCTGTCTTTGTTTTTCCTATAATGGATCAGCATAATTGTCTATCACACTATCCTCACCTATCTCACACTACCATATGAGTTCTAAAAAGCAGTTCCTTGCTTCTACAAAGCAGTCTTAATCTTTTACTTTCATTTAAATCCCTTTTACTGCATTCTCTTAAAACACATAATTTATTTTCAAATTGTTTTTGTTTTTCATTTTGAACTCTTTTAAATGGCAATGATCCAGCTTGCTTCACTAATCAGGTCTATACTCTCGAGGCTTTCACAACAGCTGCACTGGATGGTCACTCAGTGATTTGTTCCGTTTGTAATCTTTATCAATGGGAAGCAGAGCTTTCATAAATTAGGCTGTTCAGAAATGGAATACATTTACTGCAAGTACTGAAAATGCCCACTTTCAAGCATAAGAAATATTCCCTGTCCATACTTTGTAACAGTTCTTTACCATTTAATTACACAGCAGCTTGCAACTTTTCAAAATGGAATTATTCACAACTCTTATGCTAACAGTGGGTAAAATTACTTCAGAAAGTTTTTGCTAGAGCACATAAAGACTATTCTCTATTTAAACAAAAATACCTTAGTATTTCCTTCATGTGAATGTATAGAAGGCACAATAACATTATTACTGTTCTTGTAGTATGTTAGCAAGACGAACTGTAATGAAGAAAATGTAATGAAGCAATCACATTCATCAACACATTGCTACCAACCATAGTGACATCTGCTGGTAAACATGTGGCCCAACTTTGAAATCTAATACAAAGATACTTGACTGTTTATTTTATGTACTTGGTTTAACTTAGCTGTGCTCCTCAGGTTGACAGTCCTTTCAAGCTAATCCCAGTTTGATGGCTGTCATGTCAAGAAATAAACACGTGCCATCCTATGCATTAAAAGAAAGCGACACTGCCCTAAATCATTAATTCTTGCACAGCAGTGCTCCCACTGCGGGCACCTGCTGGGCCTGGATTACAGCATCATCAGTCGCTTTCCAATCCTGACATCAGTACGCTGCAACTAATGATTCCAGACTCTCTTTAACGAGCCCAGGTTCCGCTCTGCCACATACGGCTCTGCATCACGGCTTTCCAATGGGAACAGCCTCTCCCCCACCTGCTTTCTGCCCAGCCTTTCTGCTCTCCCAGCTGCTCTGCAATCCCGTCCTCTGAGCACAAGCACTTCAGTCTCCCTTCTGATGGGACGTTCTTTTATTTCCTATTCTCCTCCTCCCCAGCTTTACAGAAATACCCTCTCCGACACCCACCCAACCCTCCCTTTCTTCTGTCGCACTGCACAGAGAAATGCGCGCCTTTTTTGCATCTCTCCCCTCCAGAGGAGCTCCTTCTCCTTACCCCGAGAGCCAGAGGCCCCGCGTTAATGCATCTAGCGCCGCGGCCTCCTCCTTCCTCAGTCCCACCCGCGCATCTGCAGGGAGAGACGGGCTTTTAACGAACCCGCGCTGCACCGGACAGCAAACTGCTACGGAACGGAACGAGGGGGAAGCGGGGACGCTTAACGGAGCAGCACAGAGCCCTTTCTACAAACCAGGTGAGAGATACTCCCCACGCACACCCCATAGATCGTCACCACGAAGCGCCTTCCCCCCGACGCAGAGCGAAGGAGCGCACGGGAGCCCCGCGGTCCCGTCCCCTCAGCCACCCGGGATCGCGCGCGGGCAATCGGTCAGAGAGCGCAGCGCCCGCCCCCCCGAGCCGCAATCCCTACCGGCGCCGCGTCACGTGACGGAAAGCGCCTCTGTCACGTGGCAGGCGGGGCGCGCGCGAGGTCGTTGCGCGTGCGCCTCCCCGCCTTTTCCGGCGCGGTCCCCGCTGTGCGCCGGCGCCGTCCCCGCTGTGCGCCGGCGCCATGGCGGTGTTCCACGATGAGGTGGAGATCGAAGACTTCGAGTACGATGAGGAGACGGAGACGTACAGCTACCCGTGTCCCTGCGGGGACCGCTTCCTCATCACGCGGGTAACGGCGGGGGGGGAGGATGAGGGGGAGGCGGCTTCAGGCCTCGGGCGTGCGGGCCGGTGCGTGACTGTGTCTCGCGGGCTGTTGCAGGAGGACCTGGAGAACGGAGAGGACGTGGCCACCTGCCCCAGCTGCTCCCTCATCCTGCGCGTCATCTATGACCAGGTGGGTGCGGGGGCCGAGGGGGGGCTTGGCGTTTCCTGAGAAAGGTGCGATGGTAGCTTCTAAAAGTGTCTCATAAAAACGAGATGTGGCTGGTAGGCAGCCGGTGGCCTTTCCTTCCGTGGCGCTGTCTCCTATCGCAATTGTTTTTCTGGTCCCCCGCATCTCCTGTTGTGCCTGAGCTTCAGAACGCGCTGGCTTTGGGTCACTGTGGAATGAAATGTAGGCAAAACAGCCTCCGTGACTCCAGCAGTAGTCACCTGGCCGAATAGCTTTTGTTAGCTACGAGGCATGCTGCAGCTTCCATCTGCAGTACTCCATCCAGGCCTGGGGCTCCTAGCATGCAAAGGACATGGAGCTGTTGAAGTGAACTTTGAGGATGGTCAGAGGGCTGGAGCACCTCATTACGATGACAGGCTGAGGGAGCTGGGCCTGGGCAACATGGAGAAGAGAAGGATGTGGGGAGGCCTTATCGTGGTCATCAAGTACCTAAAGGAACCTTATTTAAAAAAAAAAAAAAATCTTCCTGTTTACAGTCTGACAGTGAGAGGATGAGGGGGAATGGCTTTAAAATAAAACAGAGCTAAATGTCAAGGAGAAATTTGTTATTCATGGGTGGTGAGCCAGTGGCACAGGGTGCTCAGAGAAGCTGTGGATGCCCCATCCGTGAAGGTGGTGTGGCCAGGCTGGGTGGGGCCCTGGGAAGCCTGATCTAGTTGTTGGCAACCCTGCCCAAGGCAAAGGGTTGGAACTAGGAGGGCTTTTAAGGTCCTTTCCAACTGAAGCCATTCTTTGATCTTTGGGGAGAAAACTTTGTGCCAGTTATACACAGACTAGAAAACAAAATGGTTATTTGATGCTTTTCTGAGGAAGAGGAAATCAAAGAAAAAAAAAAAAAACAAACTAAAACTCTACTTGCTGTCTTTAGGAACAGTTCATGCGTGATGAAGTCATTGCAGAACCTTTGACAAACAAGGAACTGGTAAAGTGCTGATGAATCCATCATGAACTGTTGCTGCTTTAACATAAGGAAATTATGGGAATGACAATTTTGGGAAGAGACATGTTGCTCCGCCTGGAAGTTCTTGCTGCTGTGGGAAACACGTGCAATAATTGTCCGTCTTAATAACTTAAAAAAGAATTTTCTGGGACATCAACATAAGTTGTTTTTTTTTTTTCCAATAGGGTTAAGCCTTTTATTAGTATTAGTTGGGATACATACTCTAGAAGACCAGCACTGTGATCCTAATTGACTTCAAATCAATATGCAGAAGATGTGTACAGAGTTGTTTTACACTGAAATTAGAACAGTTACCTAGCAGCGATTTCTTAGGCTATGCAGAGAAGTTCAGTATTTTTAGTGTTTGCGTATACCAGCATGAAATGGCAGAGAGCTGAAATGTTGAGAGATGAATTTAGAAATCAGTAGGACTCCATGGTTCTGTATGGTGTCATACAGAATTGAAGTTTTGATGCAACTTGCTATCTATCTCCTTGGTTTTGTGCCCTCAAGGTCCTGGCGTATACTGAGTGTGGGGAAAATAATGAGGTCCGGAACCAGTGCTGCTGGTAAATCATTTTTACTCCTGTGAGTGTAAGGAAAGTGGAAAGTGCAGTTGTATTCATTACTTGTGGTGGGTGCAACATGTGAGTTGCAGCGGAAACAGCTTTGGTAGCTGTATCAAATGGTTATCTGACATAATGATTTACAATTGTGTGCATTGTGTGAAATTAAACAGAAGGAAACAACATTTTACCCCTGTACAGTTAGTAATGTGTGAATGAACTTGAATTCAAAGTAGATTCTTACTTATCCATATTTTCTCATTCACACTGTGGTTTGACTCTTGCAGCAAACATAAAATAGGCTGTGGTTGTCTGTTCTGTTTGTAATACCACATTTTCTGAATTTTTAGGTATTGTTTTGTTGGGTTCTGTCGTTTCCTAGATAGGAGATGCACACAGTTCACTTTATTCAAAAATAAAAAGAAATGTTTTTAGGGCAGAAGAAAGTTGCAAGAATATGCTCCAGGGTACCGTGGTTCCAGGATTACTTCTTGAATTACAGGCCACTGCACTTAAATATTTATTTAAAATGGTGATAATTTGTATGTTTTAGTAGGTTGTGACATCTGTGACTTTGGGAAAAGTATTTGTGCAGCATTTATGTCATGATTTCACTCCAGGCACAAGAGACAAGCAAGTCTCATTGATGTCTCGGATTTAAATATTTTTGTACTTACAACATTCTGTGAATGTTGGAAATGAACCTCCTAATTACTTTTTAACACAAAAGGCAGAAAGCTGACACCCTTCAGCCAGAAGTTTTGAAGACAATACGCGCAACCCGATTTGTTTTTGTGCTTAACCACCAGGTGGCACTCCTGTCACTTAAATGTCTATGCTTCAAAAAATGCTGTGGTAATTTGGTTAGCTAAAAGTATTTATTTTGCCTTATGCTTAAATAAAGATGTTTAAAACCAGTGTTTATAATGGGCCATTACTTATTCTGCTTGTGCACGACTCACAATGATCTCTGAAGGTGTTGAATAGCTGCTGTGGTTGTAGTACTGAAGTTTCTTCAGGCGGGCTGAAAATTAAGTGGTTTTTAGTCAATCAATAAATGCAGGAACCCCATTTAAGCTCCTATTCAAACTACAGCTGTATAAATACCAGGGTTTGTTTTCCAGAAGTCTTCCAGACAAAACTGTAGAGTTAAGTTTAAAAAGGAACACTGGGGAATGTGTACTCAGAAGTATCAGCTGTATTTTATTTGGCGAGTGCTAATAGAAGCTCTGAAATGATTTTCTGTAGTGTTCACCATTGTTCTAAAATACAGATAAGAGCTTTTTGAACAGTAATTATAGGAAAATTATTACATCAGTTCAGGACTGTCAGTGCTTAAGGTTTTGTGATGAGCATATTATGCACAAGTGGTATGATGCCATGTCTGTATATATTACTGTCATTTTATGTAGTATGTATCCATGCTTTATTGAGGTTTTCATTTTATTTCCTTCTTCAGAGCTTTTTAGTAGCATAACAACAGTAAAATGTGGCTGACTTTGTTAGGAAAGGATGCGTCCACATTTGCCCACAGCAATTGCACTCAGTTTGGTGTTATTGCACTATCTTATAGTTTGTCGGGAGATAATCACTGTCCCTGTATAATAAAAAGGAAAGACAAAGGAAAAAAAAAAAAGCAACACAAAACCAAGGATGGCTGATGGCTGATATCTGTCTCTTTTTGTGGCCTGAGATAGATGTTTAAAAATTGTTGAGCTGTGGTTGTTTGTTTTTCCGTCTTCTGTTACACAGAGAGTGATGGAGTTCTATAGCAAAGGAGTTCATCCTTCTGAAAGTTCAGTAACACTAAAGAGCCCATTTTTGTTCTTTTTGAGCTGGTGAGTAGCTTTGGACTCCAGTGATGGCACACAGCTTTTTAAAATTCTTCCATGCTGCGTAATTCCAAAACACGAGGAAGGGCAATCTGAGTAACCCATCAGAAATGTTCCTTTCTAGGAATTCAGTCACAAGGTTTCTTCATACCAACACAGGCCCTTGCACAGTGTGTAGGCCCCTTGTTTGTTACTTGTGTAATTACATATTCTCGGAACCAATGGTTCACTTGTCTTCCAAAAAGACAGTTATGTAGTACACAAAGAAGTCTTTTGCTTGTATCTGACAAGCAGATGGATTGATTAGCTAAAAGGTCGTGTAATTCTGAATCATTGTGCCTGTTTATCAGGCATACATGATTTGTTTTGAATAGGTGCTTTGGAAGTCTGTGACAGAGACCCTGGACCTCCAAGAGTTGAGGTCTGTAGGTCACCAACTTCAGCTCTTGCACTTGCTCCATTTGCCTGTATGTTAGGGAAGTTGTAATGACCTGAATGTCAACATACAAATGCCTTGTCGCTTCTTCCTTCCATCATAAATTTTTAATTTGGATTCTCAGCACCATTCAAAAACTGACCTCATTTGCAGAACATCATGCTAATAACAGTGAGTGTGTAGACTGTCTGGTCTGTCTACCAAGAAGCAGACACTGGTTCATTTTAAATGAGCCTTCAACATACAAATTTAAGAATGTAAAGTGACAACTCTGTATCGTCACTGAGGAGAATAGCTTACATGAACCCATTTCAATCTTTCTTTAGTTTTAGTTTAAAGTTCAGACCAACCTTGACTGCAGGGTTGAGTATTTGCTATGCTGAAAGCTTAATGAAATGTTACTGCAAATCAGATTTGTGATGATAGTTACAGTACAATAAAACAAACGTATGCCATTATTTTCTCTGCACGCAGTTCCTTGTGGGTTGCTCTCTCTTTATTAGGCTATAGCTTTGATTCTGCTTTGTGGTAGCTTAAAATGCTGCTTTCTTCATTTCTCTCTGTAGTAGATATGGCTTAGAGGAGCCATGAGGGGCAGGGAGGATCCAAAGGGTCCTGTGTAACACTGAGGATGCTGACTTGTCAGCCCTGGAACTGCTCAAACCTTTTGAGTGACAGAGGCAACAACTGAGAGAAGCTGTGCCCAACTGGGCAGCTGCTTTCACAGTGTCACCTGCTGTCATGCAGGAAGTGGGTCAAAAGGGACTCGCCAGGAGGGTAAACACTTAAGTGACCTGTCATCGCCTCTTCCCACCCCTTGTCATCCCTGTTTCCACCTGTTTCCACCTGTTTGCCTGTCAGGTCACCTCTTCAAAATTCTTGGCAGCTCCCCAGCCCAGCGTGAGCTTCCTCCTATGTCATGGAAAATCACTGCCATGCCATTAAAGCTGCCACTGGGCAGTCAGCTGAGGGGATTGCCGTGAAGGTGCTGGATGCTGTGTGAAGGTCAGCTGCCCATCCACCAGTGCCATTATGCAGCCTGATAGGAGTGACTGTAACCGCTGTTGAGAATTGTCCCTGTTTAAAATACTGCTAGTACGTGATGATCTAAGCGAATAATTCTAAGTGTGATCTTGGTGTTGGCAGCTATGTAACTGAGAAGTAAAATTTTGGGACTCTCCAGCTCTGATAAAGGTCACTTATGTGAAATGTTTCTGTAAAACAGCTAGGCTGGCTAAAATGATCATGTGTCTGCTTTCTTCCTTCCCTAGTAGTTTAATTTGGATTCCCAGAGCACTAATTCATTTGTGTTTACCCTACATATATATAGTTAATTCAGCATCTTTCTGCTTTCTTCTGTATTTTCAGTTGTGGTGTCATTAATACAGTGTAACTTTCAGTCTTCTCTGACTCAATTCCATAACAGATTTTCAGTCAGGTCATGGTTGCTGCTGAAACCAAGCTTTCAAAATTGATGAGTAAGGCCCCTAGTGATCCTAAGTTAGGCTTACAATCACAATTTTTAAAAACGTTTTTAAGCTCATTCTCTGGAATTGAAGCTTTTAGGGATTGTATTTTCATTTTGCTACCAAGATTTCTCTTTTTGTTGTTTGGTGATGATTTTTCAATTCTTAGTCAGAGTTAAGATTCTTACCAGATTGTTTGAATGCTGAAACTGCTGTTTTAGGGAAAGATCCAGCTATCGCAAGGCTTGGGGTAAAAGCAGCAGGAGCTGGCAGGATGCTGGTCCACACGTCACTCCTGTGATGCCCTTTTTAGGCTCTTTCTGTTCCACTGACAAATGTTTTTACTTTGTCCTCTGTTGTTGTTTTCTTATTTGTCCAGGACTACAAGTTGACACATTCCTTATTTGAAGTAAAATTGACTCCATCCTGCTAGATGTATAAATATCTGCAGCATTTTCTAGCATTATCTTTTGTGTGTAGTCCTGTGGTGTTTACACAGAGTGCAGGTTTTCTGGTGTAATCTGAGGAATAACAACTATTTCACATTCCCTAGGAAAAAAACCCACATTTTTCAAGGGAGGATTTAAAAAAAAACAAAAAAAACCCACGTTGGAATAGTTACTGCTTAACAGGTCTCACTTCTGCAGATCTCTGACCATAAGCCTGGGGAAAGTCTATACATGTGCAAAGCTGCTTCAAACATCTTCTGGTATTAATTGAATCCTTTAGATAGTATTGAGCTATGAACCCTTTCCTCTTTTATCATAATGGTAGAATACAGTTGAGTTTGCTTTCATATCATAGAGAGGCTTCTGTGAGCTCCAGTGCCTTGCTCTGGTATCATCACAGTGATGGATGCTGGTGTGCATCCCTTAGCCTGGAAAAGACAATCTGACTCTTCATTTAGATAGGAAACCATCTGGAGACAGAGGTACAGACAAACCACCGATTGGTTTGCTGTATCTGAGGCAATAAAGAATGTTTGTCTTGAGGGCTGAAATGAGTGGTGACATCAGCAGGAGAATTTGCTGTCCTAAGGAAGAGGAAGGGTCTGCTTAGCCCAGTATCCCATCCCCAGCACTGCTCTCCCTCATTTGGTGGCGTTTCCCCAGAATACCCTACCATGCTTGTTTTAAGTTGTGGACTTCTTGAGATCAATACACTAATATTTAATAGCATAAAAAATATATATATTCCCATAAGTTATCTTAAGCACTTCTTGAATCTGTGTCACAATTAATTATCCACTGCATCTAATGGAAAGGAATTACCCAGCTTAGGGACACTTTGTGAGGAGGACCATTTCTTTTCATTTCTTTTTAACCCATTGCTCACTGGTTAATTTGAAGTCATTTATTTCCCCATAGTCATTTCTGCATTGAGTCTGTAAGGTCTTTGTCTACTCAGCCACTCTCCACACAGGAGCTATTCTGTGCTCTGTTGCCCTTCTCAGAACACTGCCCAGCTCTCCCACATTGTTTTTGAGAGGAAGGGAGATCAGTGAATCGTGTGTACATTGGCATGATGCTGTTTGTTTTCTGCTCTGTTCTCCACTTTCCAAAAATACTTAATGTTAGAATTCTTTTTGGACTCTTCCTGAGCACTAGTCTGATGTCTTAAAGTTAACATTTAACTAAAGCAAAAGCCTTTTTAGAATCTAAGCTCAGAGAAACCGTGATTTTCTCCTGTGTGCTCTTGTTGATGACCCAAGCATGTTTTAGAAGAAGGCAGGGTGTCCTGATTCAAGTGTCATCAGCTCAGACCTGAGGTGTCTTTCTGCTGCAGTTTCCTGGTAGTGGCTGATGAAGGTGTGCAAACTCCATGTGTTTTGGTAGGACTGGTTGAGCCTGGTTAATGCTGTTCTCCTCCAAACATTTAAATAGTCATATTGCATTTTGTATGTGGCTTCTGCTCTTTCTTCAAAGCCCCATCTGTGTACCTTTTAGATTTCCCTGTCTTTCCTGCAGTGACTCTCCTGATGAGTATCTATATTTTCCACACAATAAAGCTTTCGAATGGAGTTGATGGTGGGTTTTAGTGTGACTTTATTTTTAATCTCATACTTTTATAAAAGGAATATGTACTGCCCAAGATGCACATATAAAACCATCATTTTTGAAAAGATGAAGATTTTTTTTTTTCCCATTTGAAGGCACTACTACCTTGTAACTATATTTTAATACCGTTCTGAAAAGAAATTGTCTTATTATGAATGAGTAACGAATGGTGAATGTCAAGAAGTGGATAATTCTTGCTCTTTCTTTTGAAGAAGGGGTTAATTGCAACTCACAGTCTCTCTCGGCTGGCAGAACTACTCAAGATAAAACTATTTCTTGGAAGAATGCCCTTAGGAAGTTAGTGACCTAGAATGAGCTTGGCATAGAATTGCCTTTTAGCCTTAAATGTGGTATTCGCTGTTGCAGTCTCTATACACAGATAGCTTTTGACAGGCTTTGCAAACAGCCGGGAGTCAGAGCCTGCAGGTTTTCCTTGGGCAAGTAAAAGCTGCAGTCAGGAACTCAATCCGTTGCTGGTGAGACAAACAGCAAAATTCCCAAAGCTGGGATGGCTCTCAGCAGGATGTGTACAAGCAAATGCAAGCCTTCATTGTAGGATGGTGGAAAGTATGTGGGAAGGAGCAGAGCATGCTCCCTGCCAAGGGTGGTTCATAAAGTTCAAGCCCTGCTGTTAACTGGAAGCAAAACTGTGTTTTTAATGCCCCTTGACATAAGGCACAAGGGAAAGCAGGTGACGGCACACAGAACTGGCATCCTGCCTTGGGCATCAAAATATGTTTCTGTGGCTTTGCTTCAGCAGCTGCACTGCAGGCTGCCTTGCCATCCAAAGCACAGGTTTTGTTGTGGAAGAAAGGGTGAGTGTGGGAGTCCGCTGGTACGTAAGTCATTGCTGTGCACACACTGAGCACATGGCAGTCTGGAAGGATATGCTGATACAGGGCCCATCCCTTCTTTCTTATACCAGGAGGGTTTTTCTCCCCACTCCAGCTGTTTGTACCAGGCACCAGTCTCTGACCTTGTTCCTTGCCCAGTAAACCAACCAGTAACCTCATGGTTTGAGCTGTGGTTATCCCTGCTGCATTGAGCAAATGGAGGACGATGTATAGGAGTTGTACTATGGAATAATTTAATCTGGTCCTTTCAAAACTCTCTGATTCTTGCAAATCCTTTTTTTCTTTCTTTCTTTTTTCCTCATTGATAGATATTTCAAGGCTGGGATTTTTGTCTGAAAGAGAATTCAAATAAATCAGCAACTGGAGAAAACATTAAACAACCACAGTCAAACTTACACAGTGTTTTAGACTAATGGACCCCTTCTCAAGATATTATGCATAACAGGATTTGATTGTGCTTTCTCAGCCAGAGAATTTCTGTCAGTACCTCTGCCAAATGAAAGATCTTAGGAAGGGAGGATTTGATAGCATTCCAGGTTAAGCCAGCCTCTTCATTCAGAGACAATGACTGCCAGTCCCACACAGATTGCAGCAAGGCCACCCAAATGGAGAGTTTCCACTTAGGAAGGCCAAGTTCCCCATACTTCTTTTATTTTTGCAACCATAACAGGGCCAGGCCGTGTCCTTGGTTTCTTTCCACGCCAAATAAAGCGTCTGCACATTTTGTCTAGTTCATTTTTGTACAGTAAAGGCATTTATACCAAAAACACTTGCAAAAATAAGGTTCTGAAGACAGAGATTCATTTCTGACAGGTTAATCAACCTGGCAAATGAGAAATTATTGTAATAGATCTGTAACCATAATGTGGATTGCCTTGCAAGGGCAGCTTTTGAGGATCAGGGTGGCTGGGGGGTATTGGGAGCTGCAGGCACACGGAGCCCTGGGAGATGCAGCTCATGTAAAATGCTTTCTGAAGAACACTCCAGGGCAGATCCTGCACAGCAGTGTAAGTGTGGAGTAACCTGGTCTGCTTTGGTGGCGTTGACTTCACTGAACGAAAGGGCAGAATTTAAATGAATTACACAACGAAGAGAGAATAAAGGCCATGTACAGTAAATAATTTTCTGGGTTTTTTGCCCTTCACAGCTATCTCTCATTAATATTTCAGCCTGTCTCAGGTTGCTGCTTTACTTGGTCAGCCGAAAGCTGAGGTTGGGCAAGTGCATTGCAGCCTCATTCACATGTGGGCTTGGGGTGGGCAAAAGCACAGACAAAGCTCTGATCTGTGAGTGCTGCTGTCCTGAGCAGTGCCCTTTTGGAAGTACTGCTGGTAATGAGATGTGTCCATTTCATTTATTATTTGTGTCTTGCTGAACTGAAAAATAGGGAGGAGAGAAGGGAAGGAACGTTGAATTCATAAAACTCATTTTGGTGCAGAAGTGTCAGCTGAGCCACTTCAGCGTAAAGTGAATAATTTCATTCTCAAGATGTCAGTATAAAATATGACAGTATTTCTCACTCTGCGTCATCCTTCTGTGCAGGCTGGCACTTGATATCAATCCACATAGTTCCAGTTCCTCCAAAACTTAATTTTTCAGTAGACTTTATTCAGTGAGTAATGAGTCTAATTTCTCATATTTTGTACATTATGGCTTCATTCCTTGTGTTAATTTATTTTGTCCAGCAGCTGTAGCTGATCTCTATTACAGTGAATGGAAGACATAGGATATTTGTCTGGAGCCAGCCTTCACTAGGTCAGGATTTTGGCCCTGCCATTTGGTGCCCCCAGCACACCACTGCTGTGTTAAGCATGCCTGGAGCTCCTGACCAGCTGCACACCACCAACCGGGAGCAGAATGCCTTCCCAAGATGTGCAGGAGCTGCAGCCATGTCCAGAGGCACAGTGGCTGCTAAGAGACATCCTCCTCAGAATGTCTGAAACCACTCCGTTTTAATATTCTCTTTTCTTACTGAGCTGACTACCGTACTTTAAACCTGTCAAGTGTGTTTTATCTCTGTGAAATTCTGTTTACTTTTGCACATTCTTGCACTATCCAGATCTTCATGGCGCAGACTCTTTCTGTCATTTCCCCCAGATGTAGTATATTGCAATCCATTGCTTGTGACTGCCAAAAAATGACAATTCCAAGAGCGTCCGCAGTTCACGGAATAGATATTTTGCTGCTGGAAACTGTTGTTTTTTCATTATAGTGAGTTTAGTGGACAGCAACCAGAGAGCTGTGAGAGATGAGCTTCTCAAGTAAGGCAGGGAGGGAACCTTGATGAGAGATGGAAACCTTGAAGAGGGATTTTTGCATATTTTTGAAAGGTCCAGTCATTTCCTGGAGTACAGAAAAAGAGAAATCTTGTCTCAGAACAAATGGCCACCTGCACACTCTCATCCTGAGAAATAGCCTCCTCCATCTTGCCCCTTCTGCTTCTCCTCCCGATCCTGTGTTCTCCATTAGGTTCATCTCTCTACTGCCAAAAATAAATAAGTAAAAAGGGATATGGCTCTCCTGTGTTCTTGCTGGATGTAGTCTTTGTCTGCATCTTTTCTTTCATTCGTTTTACCATTTATTTTGCAGGTGTGTTTTAAACATCTTTAATAACATAATTGCACTGATGAGACCTAATATAGGAGCAGGCCTGGCAGAACGGGCTCCATGCAGGGGGCTTTTTTGGTACTGGCCCAGCTTGAGTGATCTGGCCAAGGGCTGCAGGCAGGGGAGCGCAGGCTGTGTTGTTAGGGGCTGTCTGGAGGGGAAAGGTTTCATGATCTGCACTGCACTTTCAGCATAATCATGCCAAGAGTATTCCTGTTGGAAAACAGAAAATTCAAAGCTGTCATCTACAACTCACCTTCAAAGCCCGTATTGAAAGATCAATAATTGAGGATAGCTGTTTGCTAAGGGGATTACTGTCAGGTATAAAATAATGATTGCTGATAGCTATAAATGTGTTTTAGTCTTGGATGTTTTCCTGGCAGACTTTAATCTTTCATTGAATTATGCAATAGCAGCCCTGAATTCGGAGGACTTGTGCCCAGAAGAACAGTAGGATGTTTTTGGGGTGCCACAGGGGAGGAAGGAAGCCTTTTCTAATCTTTCCTAATCAGTGACAATAGTTTTCCTTGGCTGGCCAAAAAGCATCCTTCCACAAATGGGGACTTCCATTTCAGTTTGTTATTTTGCAGTACTCTGCATAAGAAAGGGGAAGATGAGCTAATTTCCTGGAGAAAACCCAAAATGTTAATTAAAGAAATGGCATTTTGATATTCATTCTTGGCTGGATGGAGTTCACAGCCATCCTGATATTTCATGTCTCATTCTCGTGTAAAGAGCTTTCCAATATGATTTTTTCTACAAATGGTTATTTCTGCCACTAGAGGTCCTGAAAATAATAATGACAGGCACAACACACATGTATTTGACTCTAGTGTGTTCTCACAAAGTGACCCTGAGTGCTGGCTCTCCAAACCTGCAGTGAGCCATAGAGTAGCACAGGGCAGACTGAAGGAGCAGCACCCAGCTTGTGGGGTGCAGCATCAACTCAGCTTCCAGTGAGTAGTTATCATGCCTTCCTGCCACATCCAGAGGAGGTGAGGTGGGCTTTTCTCACATCTCAGCAGAGCACTGACAATTTGTCATGCTGCCCATATGCGTGACATAACCCTCTGTGTAGGAGCTGCTGAGGCAAGCTCTGGGGCTACCCAAGTCTTCCTGATAAGTGAAGTGATATGGAAAACAGGGAGGGAATCATATGCCAAGGTATTAAACAGCTGGGCTGCTGCCATCAGCTGAAACAGCTTTGGGGAGTTGGTTCTGGGTCCTTAATCCCCCAGCTCCTGCTTTGTCCTTTCCCCTTCAGAGCTTGCTTTTGCAAACTGGGAGAATGGAAATCACTCCAGGTGCCAGGGAGAACAAAGGAAAGTACATATGGCCTGAACACATGAAAACGTAGAGAAAAGCTTTCGCCGCCAGGCACTGCAGCAGGAGCCAGCATTTGCAACACAAACCTAGGATTGCTCTTATAGTTGAGGCCTTGCTGGGCTCTTCTGCTGTCCTCCAGTGCTGTAAAATCAATAGATGGATGTACTTGGAAGCTGAAATTGAATTCAGCTTTTCTCATTTTCTACTTCCCTCGGTTATTTCTCCCTCTCATAAAATGAATATTGATTTTCCTCTTTCTGCTGAGCCTGCAGTCTTTGCTGGCACGCAATTGTTACCAACAATTTCAATTGAGCTAGCTAAGAAAATTCAAGCAAACCAAGTTTTATCAAGATTTGCCTGCTTGTTGAAAGCAAAACATCCCAGAGGCAAATGTTCTTCCCTATGATGGACCAAGAAGGAGACAGAGCCTGGCAGCAGGCTGTAGGCAATGTGGCCACCTCTCATTGCACCTCCAGTGAGAATCCCAGTTCTGCTCCTCTTTGCAAAGGAATCTGGTTCTTGTTCCGTACTGAAACCAAACTGAACTCAGAGACCATGGAAGCTCTGCAAAAGGAACTGCCATCCTCTGCCAAGCCTCAGCATTGTGTTACAATGTTTAATGTTGGATGAAAATGTTGAAAATGTTTTTCAGAAAAGATGCTATTTTCTTGTAATTACAAGTTATACTCTCATTGTACTCACTTTGCTTATCAAGTTATTTTTCAGGTTCAAGACCTATTTTATTTCATCCTTCCCTCTCATCACCGATATAAGAGTTGTTCTTGGCACTGGGAGCCTTAAGAGTACAGTTCTGGCCGCACTCACGAGGCAGTTCCAAGAGCAGGAGCTGGCGCTCAGACAGTCCATTGTTTAAGTAAAACTCAGAAGTTATTTCCGTAGCATCAGCATCAGCCTCTGTTCTTAAGGCTCTGTGTGTGTGCCTATCTATACAGGCATTACTGACTGATCAAGGCTTGTTCCACTAAGAAACTGGTGCTTGCTTTGCTTCTGCATGGAAAGGAATCAATGGAAAACTGCCTTGAAGAAGGGACTTCTGCTACAGTCTGTGGGCTTGCTGAGGCAGCATGTGATGAGTGAAGCTCTGTAGGCTCCATAAGCACAAGTGCTCATTGCTCAGTCAGATAAGTGATGTTTCAGATTCTGTTGACTGATTGGTAAATTAAAGGAGCTCTTGGCTCCCCAGATGAGATGTTTTCCAGGGGTGTGACATACATGCGAATGAGAGAAGGAAACAAAAAGCCTGTGTATGAGATAGACAACTTGGTCAATGAGGCTTTTTCTATAAGCCTTATTTTTAATCGACATGATGCATCTGCCCACTTGAAATACTCTGATTATGAAACTGGCTGTCTGTTTGCTGCTTGGCTTTTGATTTCTAAACATTTCCATGCAATGGAGGCTAATAAAAAGGACAGAAAAAGAGGAAGGCGTTAACGCAATATATCACATAAAACATTTTGATTTATCTACAGCTTTTGGTTTGTTCAGTAATCCCAAACCATATGTACAAAGAGTGATTGACAAGATAGATTGTGCTTGAAGCAGCTTCCCAGTGGTTTGTACTCAGGTTTTTATATCTGATGTTCGGAATCTTTAGAAATGAACTGATGCATCAAAATGCTGTTTGATTTTCTTTCATATCCGTGCTGAAATTTTTCATGTCAATGTCAAATCAAAACGATGAGAAAAAGACTGTAAAAAACAGTTTAAACGTTAATAGGATATTAAGTTAAAAAGCTGAGAAATAAATGCTTTGAAAAACTTAAAACCAAAGGATGGAATCCCTTATAACTCATTTGTGCCTATAACAACATAAAGAACATTATTAGATTAATTCTTATCAGTCGGTAAGACTGAGAAAGTCATAAAAAAATGGCAAAGAATGGAGATCTATGTTAACAATCTTCTGAAAAAAGTATACAAATTAGGTTACAGTAGTTCTATATAACGCACATTTTAAAACAATGATTATTTTCATAATCTGAATTTGTAACACAAACTTAGCTCCAGTGAAAATAAACATCATGGTGGTATTATCAAATGTCATGGACTTCAACAAAGTTCATAGTGCAGCTCCTTAGAAACTGAATGATGCATTCAGCTTTTAGGTTGATCTGTGCATCACTTAGGTTCAAGCCAAAAGAAAGAACTTCACTAACAATCTTGACACTTGTATCTGTTCTCTGTCATCAGAATTCTGCTGTGTCTTGTGCATAACAATCTACAAGTGAGCTGCTGTTTTATAAAATCCACCGTTTGTAGCTAGAAAGGTAGCAAAAGTGCTGTGCCTCCTATCACGTAGGCAGGTTGTTTCAGCAGTACTCCATTCCAAAGCACCTGGTGGCAGAGCACCTGTAAGCAGTGCAGATGGTGTGTCAGTGATTGCACTTTGCAGAGTTTCTACTCTCCTGCAGTTCTATTCCAGTTCTTCCCCTGCAACTCACAGAAATGATGGCAAAGGACTGTAAAATCGGCTCCCTCTAAGATGTTGGTGGATTTCTTTAAGACCATTAAATGGTGGCTAACTGAAAGCATTGTCACTTGAGGCTTATCTGCAGACCAGCATTGTGCTGTGCAAGGAAAAAGAGGCATTTATCAATTATATCATAATGAAGAGGAATAGAAACAAAACATTTCACTGTATGCTGGTATGCTTTATTGGGGGCAGAAACAGTGCAGTTTGCATAGATTAAAAATGTAAGTTGAGAAGTTGTGAATATTTGCAAATGCTCTTTTTTGACTCTCTTGTATAAGAGTCTCCAGTATCTTTATAATCTGGATCAAACTGCTGGAGATAAAAAGAGATACAAGGTGCAAAAAAGGAAACAGAAAGCTGTCACTCACTTCACTGTCCAGATGTCATGAAAAGAAAAGTGGGCTGCTGTCTTGATTGCCTCATCATAGCCCCGTTCCATCCTGGAGAAATCTGTAGTCACAAAGGACCTGGAGGCACTTGCACATGGACTGAGAGATGCCCTGATCAGTTCTGTACTAATGGATTTGGCATAGAGGCTGCTCTGTTCATCCCCTTGTTCAAACTTGAGGTTAATGTGAGTATTAAAATGCTGCAGTTCCATTTCTCCATGCTAGTGGTGACACCTCAGCTACCAGGATGAACCCCAGGCTCCTGCTGGTACTGACTGCATCACTGGGTCTTTGTTTTAAAGTAAGTGAAGTAATACTTCAGGCCTTTATATTCTATTTCCAATTAGCTGGAAGAGGCATAAACCTGACTACTTACTAAACATCATCAGACGGAAGGTGACCTGTCCTTTAATCTGACCTTTTAACTCATCTTCGTGGGTGGGTTTGGCTCAAAGTGTTCATTATTCCTGTGTTGCCAAATTCAAAGAAAAGATAGGGTTGGAATACACGGCATTTGTTCCTCTTATGCTGGAATTCCTTTGCTCTTGCCTGAGGCTCTACTGCAGAGGTCTTGGGAGTTAACGCTTCTATGCCATTTTGCCTGAAACATTTTGTTATTACATTTCTCTCCTGTCAGTGGGAATTAGAGGAACCTGAAATGTTGTCTCTGTCTAAATAAGGAGCTAAAAGTAGTTCCATGTTTTGTGATGCTCGAAGCATTGCTTCCTGTTTATGTTGTATGAAAAACATGCAGGACTGAAGAAAATAAACTGGCACCCAGAACAGAGACCTTTTATTGAACTCTCTGTGAAACCTACTTGAGGAGAAGGATCTAGTTCATAGATGTGACAAAAGAGGCAAAGTAAATGGCCACCATGGGAAAATGGTGTTGGTACAACCAACCAACCAATCTAAAAAGCATACAGGAAGGAAAGCAGGCAAAACAGGAGATAGATGTTTTCTCTTTGTTTTGTTTTGTTGGTCTGTGTGTGTGTGTGTGGGTGTGATAAAAGGTTATGTTTATATTAGAGGGAAGTGTTCTGTGTTATATTGCCCACAAGCCCTCTCCCTTTGCTGTCCCCATACAGAGACCTTTTGGACCATGCAGTAGCTCCTTTCTGTCACGTGCTCTGAAGTGCAGTCCCCTTGGAAACCAAACATACATGTACTGTGTTACTAAACACAGCAAGTATAGTAGTAATTATTCATTAAATCATTTGGAACAATATGTTTTAATTTTATTGTTGGAAGAGATATGATGTAACATTTTTCTATTGTACACATATCTACAGCAAACGTTATTTTCTAGGGTTTTATAATTCTCTTAAAAAGTAGTATTAGATGAGGATCTCCACAGCTTTTAAATTTTATTCCAAACTTTTCCTCTCTAAACAAAAATATTTTCATTCTCATGATGATAAATCCCACTTGTGATCAGTTATATTTGTACAAATACTTTTGAAACACGAAGCAAAATGCTGAAGGAATGACATTCCCAGTGTAGAGTCCAAAATAGAATAAATAACACATAATTAAAAAATCTGTGATAATTAAAAAAAAAAAAAAAAGGAATCACATTTCATTAAAACAGCATTTCACTCAACTTTTCTGTGATTTTAAAGAGTGTCTTTTCTCACCATAGATCTGGCAGTGATTATATATCACTTGTTGTTCTGTTACCATCCTTTCAGTTAAAAACTGAAGCGTCTTCAAGAGTGTCATGGGGAATTTTAAATGACATAGCAGCAAATGGCATTGGGTTCTGATGCTATCAAAGAAAGCGTAAGTGGTAATTAGAGTAGCTGGAGTGGTGCCTGAACATGATGTGGAAACTGCAGTACTCAAACCAAGCAAGGACCTCAGTGGGGAATTTTTTGGACAACATCACACAGGATGCTGCTCATGTCTTCTGTTGTAGTCAATTTTGTATGCTTGAAACAAAAGTATTATGGTTAACCAAGAGCCGGTGACTGGAATACTCTAAGCTGAGTATTGTTCCTTCCTTTGTCTGAAGCTCACACAATATGCTGTGCATTTTATAAGAAAGCAATTTTCTTTCCGTCTCCTGAAAAAAAATCAACATCAGATTTCATTTACAATGTCCTTTCCCCTTAATAAATATGTGTATATATGATTGCTTTATGCAATAAATCAGGTGTGGAGCCGACATGGGAAAACTCCCAGATCTTCATTCTTCTGTCCTACAAGGCTCTTGGAAATTGTCATCATTATTTGTTTTAACTCCAAAATTGCAAGTGCCCTGACAAAATATTGATAGAAGTTTGCTTTGCTAGTGCATACTGAAACCATTCTCATTACCTAAAATGAACTCTCAGTCACATCTGTGAGGGACGAGAGGTCACTGGGGATGCAGGCCCTACAGAAGAAGCTTCTTTAGAAAATTATGCATGTTGTTACGTTTTGCAGATCAGCTGCGAGACCCATGACAGCAACAGTCTAAAAGATCTTCATGGCTAAAACTCACAGTGTAGAAGACTTAGTACAGTGGGCAGCAAGCGAGTAGAAGCAGACATCAGTATTTTCTTTCTAGATAGCCAGTGTTGAAACCTGACATTTCCTTCTTTTGCTCTTTCCAACCAGCACTTTTGTCATTGCAGTAATAATGAGCTCATCTCAAAGCTTTATAAGAATGAATGAATGTCACCTATACTTTCAATTTCACAATAAGCAGGGGAGCTGCCAGTCTACTCTCAAATCTACTTTAGTTTTCTTCTATATTCCACAAAAGTTTTTCTAAGAGTTGTTCTTAGTTTTCATGAAAACTGAAACAAAAAAAGTTAATAATTCAGTCTCGTTATCCCATCCAATTAGGCTCTGGATGAAGGATATAAGGAAGAGTGTGCCAAACTCTGCGGACTGTTGGTATTCCAAAGCAATTAAAGCAGTTAGTGCCTAATTAAGTACTAATTTATGGATTGTGCTGTCTTATGGGTGATAGAAATCTGGCTCAGGCTGGGAAACAAGATTTTAGCTATTACACATGAAAGCATCTACTACTTTAATACATATAAAACCTACTTTGTTTCATATGAGTCGAGCACACTGTACAACTAGATTAAATTCCCCTCCTGATTTGGCTGATGTCCTCTTACAGTTTCAAGTGTTTCCCTAACATTCATTTTCCTGTATCCTCAGATGTCACAGAATAGGCTGGAAGACAAGCTGTCTGGCAACCAGTTTCCCACATTTCCTTCAAATGGTAAACTGAACTGTTTTCTGCAGTAGCAGAGTTGAAAACCAATTGATGCTCACAGTATCTTTATTCCCTTTATACAGAATAATGGAAATTTTAGCTAGAGCTGAAAAGCCAGGAACCAGCAGCAACCATTTGAGCCAGGCTTTTGAAGGAGGACCTTCCTAGCTTCCTTGTATATTACAGCAAACACAAACATCTTTATTTTCTTTGTAGTAAACGTTCATATCTTGAATCCCAACAAGAAGTAATGCTAGATTTTGGAGACTTGATCTCCCCACAGACCTGGCAGTTATCTCTGATGTAGTCCTTGGGAATGTTCAAATTGCCACAGCTGATTTCTGTTCTTGTTACATATGGACAAAAACAAGTCCTTCTCATCTTCACTTTTCACTGCTTCTATGCATTTGCCAGAAAGGACATGGACAATCATTCCATTCTAAAATATGAGAGGAGAAGGGGAAGAAAGAACAAATGAAAAAATAAGAGATTTCCAGTAAAAACTAGGCAACGTTTCTGATTTTTTAATGTATAATAGGTCATTGATAATGACTGACTGTTCAAAAATATGTTAGTATTGCTCTAAACATGATAACTAGGTTTAGCTTTGAGCCCAAGGTATTGTGAGAACACAGCTTCTTTGGAGGCTGACAGGGTTCATAAGTGCAGAACTCTCTAAATCTCTTTCCCACCATTGTTTTGTTTTCCTATGGGTAAATGTCATCAGCATCAACTACAGCATTAGAGACCACAAAATTTGAAAAGGACCAGTCCTTCTCTTAGGAATCAAAACAAATTACAGCAGGTACTGTACCTGAGGGTTGCAGCATGCCTACTACTATACTGAATTCTTTTTCCTCAGGCTGTCCTTGAGCATGACATTTTTCAATCTTGTGAGGAGTTCTTATTCTGATGGATGAAGTCTGAGTAACACTGAGCTGTTATTATAAGAGGTTTGTCCTCCTACAACACAGGAGGCATTTTTAATATTTCCCTACTTCCATGGGGCTCTTATTTGGAAGAACTTGGGACTCACAGTGCCTTTCCCTATCTAAAAGAAGTGGGCAAAGATTTATTCTGCTCTTATTTTCACAATCTAACTTCTGATTGTATTCCTATAAAGCCAGTAAGTTAAACAGATAAAATAAGGGTATGTGAATGTAGGTAGGATTTCAGTCATTTGTGTTTTTAAACCAGATTTATTTTGCACAGGCAGTGTAAACAGATTAGCAGCCTCTTAAATTTCCTGGGTGAAAATAATACAGAAGTGAAAATTGTCCTTCAGCTATATCATCCCTCCCTGCACATGAATCATGGCAGTTACCCAGCTATCGCACAGTTGCCATGTGCAGTCATCCCCTTGCAGCAGTCAGTACTGACCTCCTGGACATCCCAGTGCTGCTCACTGTTATCTGCTTCCTTTGTGCAGTTTTGAGGGATAACCTTCCCATGTCTGACATCAAGGCAAAACAGTGGAACAAACCCAAGGCGGATTTCCTTCATGCTGTTATATTCAAAGTGCTGGAAAAAAGGAGGGTTTATTTGAACAGTGATGGAGAGGCATCCCAGTTCATTTTAAATGTTCACTCCAACATTAATTTACCCACTCCTATTTGTTAGATGCCACCCAAACATGAATGAAGGAGAATCAACAAGGCAATCTCCCCAGCTAATTTTGGCATAGCTATTTTTCTGAGGAAAGACTTTGTGGACTGTGATTACGTACAAAGTAAACCCATTCTACAAGAAATCTTTCTACCTTAATAAATATTTGAACAGAAGGGTGTTTCTAAAGTGTCTGTACGCATTACAGTTAAAAATGTGCCTGCAGCTCACACATTACAGTTAAAAATGTGCCTGCAGCTCACCCCGAGCTCACTATGAGCAGTGAAACTTCATCGGGACTTAGAGTAAATATCTGCAGTCGGGCTGTACTGGTTTGGTTCTCTCAGTGCAAGAACTTGCTAGTCTAATCCACCTTGCCAGTCTACACAGATTTCCCTCCTGTGTTTTAGGCAGTATTTTGGTCACTAGAATATGGGAAAACCCACCTCTATTATTCCAAAATTGATGCATACCTTTTATGCCTAGGCAATCTTTTCTCCAGGTTCCACAAAATAGTTACCACAACTACACGTAACAATGTGTGCTGGAACAAAGTGCGGGGATCTGGTCTCATGCATGGAATACTGCCATTTCTGAAATGATGCTCAGCTACAGAAAGGTGTGGAACACTGCCTTAGCACATACCTAATTTTAAACACATTATTTCCAAGCACATCAACCCAAATGTTTACATGAATATCTTCTGAACAGTTCCCTAAGTCCAATGCAGTGCTTCTTTATGTAAAATCTACAGTACCTGGGTGAGGCTGTTACTGCAAGGAGAGAGTTTGATAGAGCCATCTGCCAAGGCCCTTCCAGGTCTGTAATCTGCACAGAAGCCAGCACCGGTATTGTAAAGCTGTAAATAAATATTTTTACTGAAATAAAGCACAGATATCAAGAAAATATCCTTCAGATAGCTTTTTTTTGTGATTACATTCCTTTATCATATATGATTTTGCATGTAATTCAGGCAGTATTTTTTTTCTTTTGGACCTTACATGTTGACCTTGCAAAGTGATCTGATAACAAGGGAGAGTCTCACCAAAGTTCAATGTTATCTAATAAGCTTTAAGTTAGAGTTACCCACTTCTGGTTTTAACTATCGTGATGGTTAAAAGAAATCTGTCAGAACTACTTTTTTCCTAATGGAAAATTGCCCTTCAATGTGACATGGTATTTGGCATATTCCAGAGGGAAAAAGCATTTCCTGTGATCCATAGTTAGTTTGCTTTTCTCAAGCAAGCCTTGATAATAAGGAACAGACAAAACAGTAAAAGGATGCAGTAAAATTTGATAGATTTGAAGATATCAGTGTGTGACTTAATTAGTAGACCTGTTGCCTTGTTGAGGGGAAATCCTGTCCAATAGAGGTTCCTGGAATAAATCCATATTCCAATGATTTTAAAAAGATTAGTATCACATCCTGTACACGATCTGCAAGGGAACTGCTATTGCTGTCACCTCTGTCTTTGGGGGAAATGCAGGACTGGGGAAATGCTTCTTTTCCTTCATGTACGTGGATCAGCATAGAGGAATCCCAGGTGCTGTTGCAGTTGCCATCTGAATGGAGCAACACAGTTCTTTTCTGTTTTTTAATGACACCTAAAGAATCTAAGTTTAGGATCCTCTGATCTGTGACACCGAACTGTAAAGTCTGAGTTCATCTCTTGGCTGGAGTTCAAGGTTTATGTGAGAATTTGGACTAGCTGTTCTCTTCAGTCCTTTTGCTTCTTCTTCCATTCTTTTGAAAGCTTTTCAAAGTGGGAGCAGCCTCTCACTGCACAGATATTGAGTACCTAGTACTAACTAGTATATGTAAGTGATACGGGGGGTGTTCAATGGAAAAACACAAATCCTTTTTCCTGTACATTTTCTCTTACCTTGCCAGATAATCTTGGTGTGTCTTCAGGCTGGGAGAGCTCAGGGTACACATTTGTTATAAACCACTGGAAACTTCTACAGCCCAGTCTCTTCTGTAGCTGAAGACGCTCACTGCAGTCTGGTTTCTCTGCCTTCATGGAGAAAGCACAGGGCAAAAAAGGATATTGTTTGCTAGAAATGAAAATGACTGCATAGCAGTTATTTCTACCACTTCTTCTATCCTGCATGATACATATCTCTCAGGACTAGGCAAGAGGAGGACCAGCTGTACTCTTTCTCCAGCTTTGTGTTTCAGAACTAACAAATGCTGTGGAAATAGGTATTTCCTTTAAAATTGTTGTTATCCTGCAAGATACGTCAGACTTCATCATCTTTTTAATTAAAAATCTCCAGGCCAAGTTTGATACTTTTTGCACTGAAATCAGGGGGATTCAGATTGTCATTCAGTACAGAATTTATCCCAAAATTTAAAAAAAACTGTCAGTCGTCTGTAATCAGAGAATTTAAGGATAGAATTTGGACTAACATGAAGCTAATCAAATAATTGTCTGGCAGTTGCTAAATGGAGTTGGTGAATGTGTTTTGTGACTGTAAAGGCATAAAAACTTTCCAGATTTATGTATTTTCTTAAGTTACATACACACAATCCTAGTAGCAACTCTGTTCTGAAAAAAGACAGCTACCATCAACCCTTGCTGCAGCTATGGGCATCGTCACTGCAAAGGACTGAGGGTCTGAGTATCTGAGGGTATTTAGCACCTGAAGATGACCAACAGGATTCCGAAAGCCTCCTAAGCAGGTAAGTGTCTAAACTGTAGATATAAAAAGCACACAAAACACTTTTGTAAATCTCTCAGCACCCAAATACTACAGGAAGTCCTGCCACCTTTAAGAGTCTTTCTTCTCTTTCTTGCCAGTAGTAGATTTCCCCTTCCACGTTTTTACATTTGGGAAATGTAATTTGAGATTTGAGGACAGCAGTGTGGTTTCCTATGTCAGAAATTAGAAGTAGGAACATAAGAAAAGAATTGCTTGTAAATAACTTTCCTTAGCTGAGCCATTTCTTAGCAGCCTTAAAGAAGTAAAAAGGCCTTTGCCACATGCTTGAAAATCAGTGACAAACAAAAGGCCTTGGAGATGAAGAGGGAAGCATCAGTTTCTAAAGGTGCGTATCGATCATGCCAGCCCATGTAAGCTGTACCAGCAAATCTCAACACTTGCAATAGGCTAAGAGAACCTCATCATTTAATGTCAGCCCTACATTCAATAAGCAAAACAACAAAGTTCATCAATTCAGCACCTCACAAACCTGCCACCAAAACGTTTCTTTGTAACAGGGAAATAGAGGAATAAAATGCTTCCTCTAAAAAGAGATGTTTCTCCAGAGGCTGCTTTAGCTGAAGAAGGTGATGGCAGTTAATCTCATTTTGTTGTGCTAGTTGCAGTGTGCATTTGATGCTGAATAAGTGGTGTAAATAATCTAGAGAGACTCATTAGCCCTGTAAACCAATCTGAAAGGAAACTGTGCTTGTAAATAAATGAAACACACACACAAAAAAAAAAAAAAAGAGAAAAAGAGACAGTGGCTGAAACCATGGAGAGCTGCAGAGAGCCTTATTCATCTGTATTAATGCTCACATCACAGGCATCCTGTGCAAGATGTAATTTCGACCATAAAATGGGAAGACTTATAAAGCTGTCTAAATGGGGCTCATTTTTTATTTCCAGTGTTGGGCAGTTCTATTTCAAGGCTCGCAGTGGCCCATAGGTGGCTCTGCTCAGCCTTGCCGTGCAATAAATCCCTCAGGGCTCTCTGCAGCCCTGGCAGCAGAGCAGCAGTAATGTCACTGCTTGCTTGTGTCTTGAACAGCATCTTGCTGTACTGACAGGCTGATGGTTTTGGCTATGAAGGAAAGGAATGGAGAAAAAGGCCTTTTATGTTCTAGTATTCTGAATATTGAGATTGTACAATTGGTCATTTGAAGAAGCATCATACTTAGGAGTGCTAAAAGTATCCTGGATAGAATAAACTCTCAGGCAAAAGGTCATGGTGCTCATAGGTAGTAAATGAAATCATTGATGGCTGTAGTTTTTAGCTCAGAAAATTGCTTCTGAGTTGACAAGAATGGCTTTCAGGAAGTAATTAAATGATAAATATCATCTTAGAAGACCTGGCTTACCATCCTCCTTTCTGTTACATGGCTTTAAGCCTTGTGAGTCAGATGATGAAATTCTGGCCAGTGGAGTTAAAAACTACTGCACAGACATGGAGGGAGAAGCCTTTTTAGAAAGTGAAAACAGAATTAAAAACTGAATGTGTGTCTCGGGCTCAAGCATGAGCATGGAGCCAGACTGGAGGGGCAGACCCACTGGTGGAGCCTAAGGAAGTCACACTAGGTGGCAGGAGAAAAGCCCCACTGGCATGCAGCTTTTTTCCTCTCCCCACTGTGATGCGGCCACTGCTGCATCTGCAGCAAAGACGTGAAGAGCTGAAATGCAGAGTGAAACTGAACGGGAAACTTACTGGGATACTTTGCACGGCACTGACCCGTGCTGTGCCCAGGTGTTTTCAGGGAATCTTATCCTGAAAATCGTGGCATTGCTCAAAGAACTTGAGAAACTTTTTAAAAATTATTATTTAAAACTGCTTACAGGCTTGTCCATTGCCTTGTAGATGAGGATACCAGTACAAGAAAAGGTTTGGGAAACATTTTCTGTTCTGGAAAACTGCTGCAACATTAAATGTTTTACAGCCATAGCTCCGAATACAGCATCCAGCAGTTTATAATACAAGGCGTATGCAGTCCCCTGATTGACCATGGTCTGCAGTGGATCACACAGTGGCTTAAAAACACTATCGTTGTTGGGTGGTATGTAGGTGGTATATGGTTCAAGTTTGGCTGCATGCAAGGCTACTGGGAACATCTCTGGAGGCTGCACTGCTGGCTCTGTGATGCTTCTAATGATAAAGTAACTTGAAAAAATACTAATGGTGAGATCTAACCTCCCCAGTTACAGACAGTTGCTTCTGTCAGTTTGGGAAGAGATCAACTTTTTTCTAGAGCACTAGAGCACTCACATGTATTATCTTAGAGTAGTAGAGACACCAGAGTTTGCCACATGCCAGTGAATATTACTTTAATCACATACTAGATGCCTTCAGCAGTGAAGGATGAATCCTTCAAAAAGATCTTTCAAGCACACAGTGCAACTAGGCTCCACTTCAGATGATTGTTATCAAATATGCTGTCATTGGTGGAAAACCAAACCACAACTTGCTGGGAAGCCTGAAGAAGGAGTCATTTGGAGACAGAATCATACTCTAAGATATTTGACAACTTCAGCAAACAACTCTTAGGCACGGGTTTCTTTTTTTCCTGATCTAAAGGCTCTTCCACCAGCAGGTTTTATAAAAATGAAAAACTCTACCTGGTGCCATGCCTACTGAATGTTTGACTGTACACAGACACCCACGCTACCATCCCGCCACCGTCACCTATCGCAGCACACAGTCCTTCCCTCAGAAACAGACCACTACAGATGTCTTTACCTTGCTGATTAGGAAAGCCACAGTGTCATTCTTGTAGAAGTTCTCTTTGAAAGAACCCAGCCAAGTCTCTGCTATTCGGATTTTGTTCCTCACAATGGCCTCTTCATAGGAGAAAGCATGGGGAATATGATTTCGATAGACATGTCCAACACGGGAGCATGGAATGATTTCTACAGAGCCACCACAGAGCCAGGTCTGAAAAACAGGTGAAGGTGCAAAAAGAGATTATCTTCTGTGTTGCTAGTAAAGCACAGCTGGCTTTACAGACCAGTAATAGTGAGAATGCAAAGGCAGAGTCACTCATTGAGTTACAGCTTATTCTGGACAGTGGCTGAATGTTAATTGTCAAAATTTCTAAAGCATCTGAATAGAAGAAGCTCCTTTACTATAGATTCATCCTAGTCTGTGTATTTTTGGAAACAGAAAGAACATGATGTGCTTCTTCATACACTGCCCTGCACAGACATGGAGACACAGAGAAGATGCTGTGCAAGACAGACCTTTGATTTGATGCAGTGTTACCATTTATATGCTTTTATGTTTTCCTGTGCACAGACAGTGCAGTGTAGTGAAGTCTTGGGGGCATGCCTTCTTTTGCCTTGGACTTTAAAGATTCTATGCTTTGTGTCTACAATTTTTGTTGCTTTTTAATATCAATTACTCTTCATATTCAGCAAAAACTAATGCATACAATATAACATAAACAATTTGATATTTAAAGTAGATGGCAAAGAAATAAAAGCAATTTTTCATTTGGTGCATGCCAAAATAGAAGAGGCAGCTCTCAGAAGGTAGGTAAACCAGTGACTCTGACCTCAGGCAAACAGTAGTAGTGAAACTTCCTTCTCCTGACATAATGCTTCTAACTCACAGCGTCTGCATATTCTTGTGTAGTCTCGACAGATCACAGAGCATGAGGCAGAATTCTGAAAATATAGTGATATTTGCCATACCTCAAGGAGTTCTACACTTAACTGCTTTTATAAATCACTTCTTGCCCTTTCATTCAGATCCCTTCAAAACCCAATAGTTACTCACACTTGATGTTTTAATTAAGGTTCTTACCCTTATAGATAGCTCTAGATTTTCCGCTCCCCACATGGTCATGTCAGAATCATACGCTCCAATGTTTTGGAAGTAATGTCGATCCATGGCAACTACTGCACCAGCTACTGCTGGACTCCTGTGTAGATAGTAGTTTGGAAGTGAACAACTGTTTTGGACAGAGAATTATATGAAGGATGAAAACCCCACCATTTCTGTGGTGGAGACAATATCAAAAATTATTGAATATTAGTCCTTATAATCTCATATTAATTAATTATCAAAGAACAACTGGAATTGAATTCTTGGATTTACCTGGGGAAGAGAGCCAAGCTCTGAACTGTTGAATCAGGCTCAGAACAGTAAGAAGTGCTAAGTATAAGTACATTCAAAACTACAGATACACATAATGTTTAAAACTTTTAACTCTACATGGTCTATCATTTGCTTTCCCTACAAACCTCAATACCTTGTCTGGTCATGTTGTAGAGTAGTCGATTCTAGTTGTGCATAAGACATTTGTCACGTTGAAAGCATTCTACTTGGAATAAATTTTAAGGGTCAAACAATCTTAATCTAAGCTAAAAGTCATCCCCTTCAAAAAACATGAACCAAGCAAATGCAAGTAACCATATCTCTCTTTTATTAGCTGGAATACTGCCCAAATTGTTCTGTTGAGGTGAGTGGACGCATATTGGCTTATGAATTGTTACCTGATAGGGCTGATGGGAGACTGTCGTACCTTCTCTTCATGCTCTGGCACTGGTTCCCAGTGAAAATCTAGTTTCCAATCAAAAACACCTCGATGCAGGCTCATAGAGTGATAGTATTGAAAAGTCTTCCAGTCTATGACATCTATGATAGGGGAGACGACACTGTTGCTGAAAAAGACAATATAATTTCTTTTTAAAGCTGAAGAATAATTTCACTACTGTGTTAGTGAATAGTGGATCTCTTTTATGACACTGTAGAGTACAAGCACAAACTCCTCTGGATGTTGAGTGCCCTCATTTTCCCTCCTGATAGAGCTCAGATGCTCCATGCATGGGAATACTGAGCCTGAAGCAATGATTCTGAAGATCAATAATTTATTGATAACCTATACATTGCACTGTCATTTTAAAGCTATTCAGGATTTTGCTATGTGTTAACCATCAGAATTCTTATAAAGCAGTTTCACAGAGGTTTCAACGTTTGAAGTTATGGATGCAGAATTTATACTGAAAGATGATTTTCGTCTCATGCACTTTACCATCCTTTCATTTTCCTCTAAATGTTCCACACACTTCATGACTTTGTCACTTCAGGCCAACAAAGTATGCACTTTAACTTATTTTGTTCTGCTTGGTTTTTTTGAATTAACTTCTATCACTGGTTTTGTGAAACATTTTCTTTTTGTGTAGTCTTCTACTACATCCTTAATGTGCTTTCACTGTCTCTGTGAGAAATTGACTTTTAAGAAGCACTGTGCTGTGAGCAGCAATCCTTCAATTGATTTCTACCTCAGGTTAAATTTGAGTTAGTTAGAGATGAGGTATTAGACATGTCCCCATCGTAGACTTGTTGTGACATTTCACAGTGTGCGTTATCCTGGAATGTACTGGCAATTTGGAAAAGCCATCAGTATGCCTTGTTTCCAGGTCAGTGATGTATCACATTTGGAAATTTTCAAAGTACAAATACAGTGATGTTAGCGACTGCAGGAAAAAAAATGTACTGAAGAACAACAGTATCCATTTCTGCTCCTTTACACAGAAAGTATAGCCCCTGGTCTTAGTGTAAGGGCTTGCCTAGAAGGTATTCTATAGAAAATGTAAATAACATTTAGAATAATAGAATAATAGAATCATAGAATGGCCTGTGTTGAAAAGAACCACAATGATCATCAAGTTTCAACCCCCCTGCTATGTGCAGGGTCGCCAACCACCATACCAGGCTGCCCAGAGCCACATCCAGCCTGGCCTTGAATGCCTCCAGGGATGGGGCATCCACAACCTCCTTGGGCAACCTGGTCCAGTGCGTCACCATCCTCTGTGTGAAAAACTTCCTCCTAATATCTAATCTAAACCTCTCCTGTCTCAGTTTAAAACCATTCCCCCTTGCCCTACCACTATCAACCCTTGTAAACAGATTTACTAGGGATTAAGGTGAAAAAAAAACATACTGTAGTCAGTGGAGGAAAGTCACCTCAGACATCTTCAGTGCATTGAGCCATTTGTTCTTTTCAATGGCAGAGACCAGAACCAGCTGAGTAAGATGGCAGCTCTTGGTGATGGTCATGTAGTCCTAACATATCTGCTCTGCCTTTACAATCTATTGTAATGTTTTTTTCAGTGACAGGATCAGGGAAGCTCAATATTCTGTTTTATTACAGTTGCCATTTACTGTAGATAATTTTAGAACCCCACAGAGAAAAAGAGTTTACTGATCTTCAGTGAATTGTGTGAAAATGTACTATGCAGACAATAGCATCAAAATGATTCAGTTATTCCTTTGTTTCCTAATAAGAGCAAACTGCCCTATAATGAGCTAAAGGCAGAAGGTTTTAAAACAGTGATTATATCTCTCCATTTAGGTATAAAACCAGCCTTTGTAATATATTATGATAGGTACTCTTGGAAACAGTCATTGTGTTTATAAATAAAACAATTTTATGGTCATCTTTAGGCAACATTTGTAGGCAGTGATTTACTGCCATTCTTCTGCAGGACTCAAATAAATGATCCTAAAAATAATGAAGCTGATATCCTCCTTCGATTCTCTTGATGAAAGCATAGTGATACAGTTTTGTACCCCAGACAGGAGCAATCTCCTCGAACTCAAGCTGACAGGAGTTAGCTTTATAATGGAAAACTGTATTTAACCTTTACTCACTAACAGTATGAAAACTGACTGCTTCTAAAAGTTACTGAAAGGTAGTGAGTGCTCTGGTGGACTTGTACAAGCAGGTGTTTTTTAATTTGACATGCTGGGAAAAATCCAGCTAGCAGATTAAATGGACATTATAAGACTAAACTTCAAAAAATGAAAAATCACTACAATTGTAATTTCTACATCCTGCTGCATTCTCCACTGTAGACATCACTGACAACTGTCTGTTTAGCAGGGTACCTGGAGGTGGATACTTCCCACCTGTTCAGTGCTACCTGCTGAAATGCATGCGATTGTTGCTTGTATCTCCATTCTCATCTAGAAAGGACCGGGGAACTAATGATTCCTTTATTTCAAAGTTTTAGGGTCAGGAGGGGAAGATCAGGGGGACATGCTGGGATGGAAGCCAGGGGAGGCAGTGTAGACTGAACCATTCAAAAAACCCTGGTCATGAAGATTAGACCATATGCGTATATGCAGCATAGCTCAGATGCAGACAGCGTGGATATTCAAAGTTATGCTTAGATGTATTCTGGATCAGACAATCCAGACATTTCAAATGAGTCTCCATTTTCATATCCAACCAATTTAAACCTGTTCTTCTTTTTGGATCTGCCTTAAATTTGTTACCACTATAAAACTGCAGACTCCAAAGACACTCCTAGCATCCGTGCAGTTGCTCATATAAAAAGCCATGACAGTACTAGTTCTTGCTGAAATAACCATTATTTTTCAATGCGTGCTTTTACTTTGCTTGTTATTGAGCATGACAATTCCACATTATTAAAAAAAAATACCTGCACTGATGTCATGGTTCTGATGGTTAGGAGAACAGGCAATAACCCAAACTAAATACAAATTATGACACAGAAAATTATAATTTTTAAGTCAGCTGAGAAAAAAAAACAACTCACTGGATGAACCATATTCTAACATGGCTAAATTCAAAAATGAAACAGAACAAAATAAAATCAAATATCCTTTACCACAAAATTATAAATCGATTACTGTGTTTTAAAGCTATTACTCCAGTAGTTTTTTCAGCATGCCATGATAAAGCATTCTCGAGAGAGTGTTTCTAAATGTAATGCTAGATCCTTACCTAGTATAAACTGGTGTAGCTCTGCTGAAACCAGTAAAGCCACACCTCCTTAGAACTTAAATATTGAGGGTGTCTTTGAGATCTGAAATAGAGGAATCCTGTGACTTTTGTGAAAACTGGACAATGTTCAGTTTAATCTTAATCAAGCAGTGCTTTACATACCATTTGGTAACAAGGCTTTATATAGAAAAGCCTTTTTTATATGTTTTCTGCATATTCAATGACGGTTTGATCTTTGTGTGGATCTAAATGCAAATTTGCAGCAGAAGGTAATTGAAAGCTGGAAGATGTTCTTAGCTATTCTTCTTGTTTTTAACTGAATTACTGGCAGACAGTCAGCAGCTTTGAAGAGAAAAACATACTGGCAAACTCCAGCTAATTTCACTCTGTGGAATTCAAGGAAAGGAAAAAAACAGGAAACTCAAATATAACCAGCAGCAAGGCTTTGAACCATTTAACTGTGGTGGTACTAATTTGCGAATATTTCAAATGCTTGGAACACACAGGATCTACAAAAGGTCACAATTCCATCAAAAGAGCAACCCAAGCAACAACTATTTCCTAGTTTGGGATTTCTCAACAGAATACAATTGTGAATGAAATATCTTCTCATGACCCTTGGAGTCAGCATGGACAGTATGTTCTTTTCTATTTTTAGAGTAACACGCGAAGAGGAAGAGTTAATTAACATGTTTGTTTTGAAGTTGTAGACATGATATTTTGACAGTGCTTTTTAGTGATTTATCTTTTTTTGGCTAGGAAAGGAACAGATTTTAATCTGATTGAGTCATACCTAGATCCTTATTTCTTCTACTTTTGGCAAAACCGATTACTAAGGGCTTTAGATTCAAGTTTCTTTACCTCATCTTCTTTAAAATAGGTCACCTGCTGATACTGATCAGCACTGTGAAAGATTGTAAGGAGATAGCACATCTTCAGATAACACGCCATGTAAATGAGATTAGTGTTATTGACGAACAGAGGCTATAAAAAGATCAGGCCAAAAGCAAATTGATGGTTGGACTGAACAATCTTGGAGGTCTTTACCATCCTTTGTGATTCTATGATTCTATGAATTCCCAGGGAGCAGGCTGCTGTACGTGATGTAGGTTTTCAAAAACAAGAAAAATAGCATGGAAATGCATGCTGAGATTCATGATGGGGTTGTGTGTCCTCTGGATGGACAAATTCATACTTCTCCAAGCCTGTGAGATTGTTGAAAACAGATGACTTATGTGTTTGATAGCTTGAAAAGCTGAGAGATGGTCCACAAAAAACACAGAGAGCTGGATGAAAAAAGATGAAGGAACTGTTCACTGCAAAATATTTTCCATCTCCCTGGTGTAGTGCCATAAAACAGCTCCACTCAGTAATTTTTTGAGTAGTACAACTCTGTGTCTATTCCTGTATCTACAAACAGAGGCTCTGTTTGAGTCCAAAGCTAATGAGGTATCTCTCCATTGCCGTGTTCATTTCTTATTCTGTTTAACATAATTTCATTAAAAATTAGTGACCTAGAATCAGGGAGCCAAGTAGAGACACTTTGAATTTTAGAAACCAGAGAGGCTTCTTTTGATATTGCAGCCTTCAGTTTCCTAGCAATATTTGAGCTATGCTGTAGTCAGTGCACTAGCACAGAGGGAAGTAGCTATTGCAGTGAGGAGCAGGGGAAAGGTCCTGAGGACAAGCTACCCCTCTGCAAGCCACCCCCCTCTGACAATGTTATGGCACTTAAGCCTTTTCTAGAGCTGGAATTCCTTTTCAAGAATGTAATCAAGGCTTATTTTGCTTCCATGCAATATTGCCAAGAACCACAATTTGCACTTGTATTTCTTTTTTAAATCACCCTTCTGCAAGAAAGGAGCCATACACTTTGGCATGATGGTCACTGTTTTTAGGTTAAAGCAGCAACCTTTTCAAGGCTTCAGGCACGAATGAGCATGTGCTCCCCTCTGCCTTTCAGTGCCTCTGGACTAAATACAATATAGCAGTTGTATCCTGCAGTCTTCTGGAAAAGGCACAACCCACAAAAGATGATTGTAATAATTGCATAGCTGCATTATTATGCACCATGCTACTCACTTGGAATTAGGCTGGAATATAAACCGTTGTCAAGTGAAATGATCTGTGGGGCGTCTCATCTAGTTTTTTAATGCTGTTCAGGTGGCTTTGGTATTCATCCTTGAATAATCAAATGTCAAGGAATGCTTTGCAAATCACTGAACCATTCTTGAGGTGGTGCACTAAGCTGATGCACAGCATCCCAGGCAATTTGTTTGGTATGGTTCAAAGAACTGGTCCCAGCCAAGGTGCCCGTAAATGCACATGTAATGACTTTGGAAAGGCTTAATACTTTTGGGGTTAATGAATAAAACCACCATGCTGGGAAATGAAATGCAATCACACAGAGCAGTCAAATAATTGAGAAATCTGTCTGTTCCTGTAAAATTGGGTAACATTTCTCATGTTTGTCTTGTCTGTCATTACCACAGGTTAATCAGAACTGGGGATATCTCCCTTTCTGTGAATATGTTCAACTCAGATAGAGTTTTCTGTTTATGTAAAGATCTCTGCATTGGTAAGGTCATAATAACAGTGGTAGATCTGCTCAGGAGTGTAGAAAATTGGGTTTGATCAGTTTTCAAAGTTAAAATCTCTCTCTCAGCTCCTTTAGACTCCTGCAGAGGACTGGTCTTTGGAAAGGCTGCATTTTTCCTTGCCAGCTGAAAATTCACTTGCTCTACGTGATTAAGTGTTTTCCCATCCATGCAAAAGTGCATGGATAGCAGCTTGACTGGTGCAGTCAGAGGAAGAATGAGGGGTATTTCACTAGTTACTCTAAGCTTTTTTTGTCACTGTGTTTTCCTCATTTGGGCTGTCTTAGGCAGTGGATATGATTGAATTTAACAGCTCCTCAACTGCTAAATGAAGCCAAGTTGACGAATGATCTCCATGCAGGCATTACAAGCAATTTAGGAAAAATAATGAATTAACTTACTTAATATCCTTGAGGAACTCAAGGACTGCAAAAATGAGCTCAGCTGTACATTAGAGGGTAGGCCCAAGCACCAACTTAGACTTATAACACTCGAAAATACAAATCTGTATCTTCCCGTGTGAGCTTAGCTAGGACTGTCTGAGCTGTGTGGAAAATCTGTTTTTCTGTGGAACAGAGATGGTACAGCTGACATTGGTTTGTAACCCAGCCTGCTCAGGAAGCCAGAGTGGTTAAGGTGATCATCCCTTTTTATCTTCAACTTCATAACTAAGACAACTAAAAAGTAAAAATAATGGATTGCAACCTTTTTAATTCAGACCACTAGGAAGCCTTGTCATAGCTCTAATGAAGGCTGGATAAAAAATGCCAGTTTAGTGATATAGGGTATGAAGCAAGGTTGTCAGCTGCGTGCACCATCCTGTTTTCCACATACCATGGTGATGCATGTGGTGTGAAAGCAGATCATAAAAACAATGTGACCTGCACAAAGGAAACAACCAAGGAAGGATTAAAAAAAATAAATAAATAAACCAAAATCCTTCCATGTGCATCTCTTCCAGCAGGAATTAGCACATTAGGGAGCTGAGAAGTCATGAAGATATTGGAGTTGGACACAATGATCTTTAAGACTCCCTTCCAACACAAACCATTCTATGATTCTCTGGTTCTGTATTTACCGGTTGCTGGACAGCCTGGCCAGGAGTGGCTCCAGCCAGCCCTTCTGACATTCGCAGTGTGAATCCATGAAGACGAGCACATCTCCAGTTGCCCGTGCAGCTCCTAGCATCCGACCTCGGATGACTCCAAGCCTCTTGTTGCTCCGGATCAGCTTCACGCCATCCAACTTTGAGATGTATTCACTCAGGGCTGACTTCAGGGGCCCTGTCATAAACAGAATGGTCATTTTAGCTTTGATTCAAGTTCTTACTAGAAAGCAACAGGTAGTAGGAGATGTTGCTTGCTTGCCAGTAAAATGTTCTGGGAGTATTTGTTTTACATGGCCATGCAGGCCAAGTTCCAAATATTCCCCAGCAGAGTAATGTCAAAGAGAAGTAGGGGCTAATGGAAACTGAGATTCACTAGGTGTGAAGCTGTTCCTATGAGAAACTTAATATCCCCCTCTCCTGTTTTCACCAAAAGGTAGATGTTCTCATCCTCTCATAAAAGACATAGATCAGCGTGAGATACAGGTGTTTGGCTTTCCCAAGGACTTGGGATTACTTTAGCAATGTGGAGTTTTCCACTTCTCACTTCAGCCAAAGTCCACGTCTGGAAATTATTATACCAGATCTGGTCCAGTGGGAAGATTTGCATACTGTGATCTTATTTTAAAGCAAGAAAGCTCAGAGTGATTGAAAGTGATGGGGAAGAAAAGAAACATATTTCAAAGTTGAAAGGCTAAGTTGAATTCTAGAGATGGAAGATTGAAACCTGGCAGCCAGCTCAGGGCTTTCTCCCTGAGGGTCCCATTTGCCTTTTATTCTCTTTATACACTACTTGGAGGTGGACAGTTTCCTCCTTGCAGCTTTGGAAAGCAGAGATCGTACAGAGAAGTGGGGTTACCTTGCTGGCTTAGGTCATCTACTAGGATGATATCCTTAAGGGAGGCCTTTGGGGCTGTGTTAATAATGCTGTGCACTGTTCTCAGCAGAGTAGACCAGGCTTCGTCATGGAAACAGATGATGACACTAGCAGTAGGCAGGCTGGAGTCATATTCCTGCTGTAGGCACCTGTATGGGATCAAATGAGGCAGACACTAGAAACACTGGTACAGCTGGCTACTTTTCTCAGAGCAGAGTTGCAAGCTACACCTAAATTTTCAGGGATGGAAAGCAGTTTAAGATCTCAGCTCAGGAAGTAAAGGAAGTATTAAGGTGTCCAAGACTGGAACACGAAGTGAAAATTTGAGAATGACATTACAAAAATTAAAGTTAAAAATATGAATATGAATGTTTTGCTGTATTCTGTTTGTTGGTTGTTTTTTTTTTTTTCTTTCCCTTCTGTTCTGGCTGCAGTAGAAACAAAGAGCTCAAATGATCCAGAAGACAAACAAAGAGGAATTGAAAATACAAAGCAAAGGAGAAAAGATGATGCAGTAGATCAAACAGCCAGCCCCAAACCCCTTCCATATTTTCTCATGTAACACACAAAAGAGCAAATTGAAATGCAGTACCTTTAAGACTAACAAGAAAAAATAACTCATCTACACAATACATCAGTTTAACCGTGGACTGCCTGACCCAGATCACAGAGAATGAAGCCAGCATCCCTGTACAGCAAAGAAACAGACCTGACTTAGGTAATGAAAACTCATACAGATGCATTTAAGGAAGTTAATGCATATTCTCTACAAAGTCTGCACACTTTGCTTTTTCTGATGAAAATGCATCACTGACAAAAGAGGCTCCCAGATAGGTAGATTATCCCCAAGACTATTTCTGCTGTTTCCTTTACAACTCCAAGTACTGCTACAATCTACTGCAAGAAACCTAGCTGTGTGGACATGATATAGCATTTCTGGAGAGGCTACAGTGTGCCAGAGGAGGCCCATGGCTCCCCAGATTGCCATGGGACCAAGGTGTCTCCCATGACATTAAAACAACAAACACCAAAATGGCACTGAATGGGATGGTTCTTTGACAGCTCAAGCATTTAAAAATCAAAAACATTTCTGTCATCATCATAGAAACTCCATATATAAAAACCCTATAGACCCTTATCAAACAATGCCTATTTCATAAACGTAAGTAAAGAAACTAAAAATCTGTATTCACCACAAAATCTGTTTTTCAATCTGCCCATCTTAGTTCAAAAGGCAAAGGACACATCGTGCAGGCAGGAGGATATTGGAGGATATTCATTTTCCAGAAAAAGCTCTCAAATGCCAGTATATCTGTTTTGCTTACATTAGAAAATGCATTTAAAAGCTTTTTCATTCCTGAGTAGCACTCCTCTTGTTTTCCTATTTGTTTAGCAGTAAGAACATCTTGAAGGAATGACAGAATTGCGTAAAAATATTTACACCTAACTTGGTTTGTCATCTTGGTTCCAAGGCTGCTTAGAGGTCCAGCTCTGTATCTGCTGTCAGTTCATGAAAGCCATTTATTTGGTTTTTATCTGCTCCATTGCTCTTTTAGCATTTTCATACTGCCAAGCAAATCACCAAACAGATTTTACAGTGGTTATTAAGCAATTAGTTGCTCAGTTAATTCAACTGCAGCAGAAGCTCGTGTCAGGGATATGATTTGAATATTGCTGTTTATTACCATTTTACTCAATGTTTCAGTTCATGAACCAGACCCTGTCATGTTAGACAATACCAGATACAAACCTCCTTATCATTCTTTGGAATCCACAGTCTGAATGATTTAATAGCAAGTAAAAATACATGAATATTATAGATATGCTTCTGTAATCATCAGTGTTGTCTCAGGATTGTATATGGGAGATTTTTGCTATTCTTCAGTACTATGGAGAAAAGGATACTCTCGTGACTTGATAGTATCTGTATTTTTAGGCAGAATAATCTATAGATAGTGAAGGAAAGTGAAGATCTGATGCAGTCCTTTTACTACCAGGCAGCTTATAACCAGGAATACTCTGTACAGTTCTCTCACCTATACTTTCCACCATAACCCTGCAAGGCTTTGTTGCTAGTATTGTGATTATAGTGAAAAAATAAGACTGTTGTGGAATCTTAATTGGAAGAGAATTGAAAATGACTGTAGAATATGGCTTAGGTGGTGAGTATTTAGTTGCCATGGAGATTGGAAAAGGCTTGCAATATAGATATCTAATCTTCAGAAAAATGAGAGAGGGTGCTGGTATGCAGAATTGCCTTCCCTGTAATTTGGAGCAGTTTCAGGCTGTCTATCATAAATCAACATTTCAAAAAGTCGGGGCTGTGACTGATACAAGGCACGGTGATTTAATCCAATTTGTGAAAAATAAGGAATTGTCACATGCAGATAGGAACTGGAGAGCAATTCTGAGAGGGCAAAGGCTCTGCTCTGCCAGCAGCAACTCCCACTCACCTGCAGGAAAACATCTCATTGAGATTCAGTTCCCAGCAGCATTCAAGTGGAACCTGTGCTTTTGTAATGAAACTTAAATTTCATTTAGATACTTGTGTGTCTGCATTTGCCTGGGTATATACAGCTTGATGCTCAAGCTCAGGAGAAGAAAACAACATTTTTCACACAGAATTTAGTTACTCAAAGTAAATTGGGAAAACAAGGCATCTGATTTATCCATTGGATAGGATCAGTCGGAGTGCTGGAACAGATACAGCTTTATGCATATACTTTCTGAGAAATAGCATAAAACATTCACCTGGAAAGGCATGCAAAGAGATGTAGGGTATGTTAGAAACTGGGGTCTGGGCAGAGAAGTCTGACGTATCACATTCCAGGTGAACAATTTGGATCCAGGACTATCAAGGCAAAGCACAGTCAGCAGGCTCTGCTTTGCTTCCACTGGAGCTCTGTAATCTTCATACAAAAAGAAGCTGCAGTTCTGCAGCTCCAATGCAAAACATAACAGGAGCAGCAGCTACGTGTATCTTACAGCATTAACCTTACATCTTACACTCTGTTTTAAATGTGAAAAGGAAGTATTCCTTCCTTTCCTAAACATGAAGTCTGGTCAGCCTTATTTTACAGCAGTGCTTCCCAATTGGTAGGCATAGCTTTGAGTCTGAAGGATTTGTCATTTAAAGTGAAATGAGAGAGACTGAGACCATGCAGGTGACTTACTGAAATTTCTCTAACTGGTTGGTTTCTCTCTAATAAACAATAACAGACATTATTACAAGCAACAGGATTCAACAGAACAACATAATAGACATTCTGATTCATTACTGCTTCACTCTCATGTTACATCAGTATAAAATGTGACTGACACAGCTGTGAGGTAGGCCCACAGAATGAATCGTGTTTAAAAAATATCATTTTGGCTGCATGTTAGTCCATAAAGGACGGAGCTGGCTTAGAGATAGACCCCCTCTGCAGGTTTATGATCTGGATTTAGACCTGAGCTACTGAGAAGCTTCAGATGTTCAGATCTGTGGTTTCAATCTGGGCTTCTATGAGCTGTGTTGTTGATAGGTCCTTAGGTTTTCACTAGGCACACAGGAAAACCCATCCAAGAACTCCTAGATCATGGCCTAAATCTCACGTGAGATTAGTATGAGCTAAAAACACCTCTTGTCGGATGGCCCTTCAGCTGCCAGAACTGTTTTTTGGCTCACATCACCAGCAGTAAAAGAGGGTCATCATTCCTCCTTTGAACACTACATAGTTCAAAGAACTGCCAGTGAAGCATGGCAAAAAATAACTTAAATGATACTAGTGTATCATTATTTAATGGAAATACCCACATTAACATTGAATCTAGTCAGCAAATGTAGAAAACACACAGTCTTTCATTTCTTTTCCTTAAAGATTGTTCCCTGAAATTGGAGCCACCAGCTGCCTTTATACGTGGGAAAATGATCACTAGAAAAAAAATGTTTTCTGGCACATCTTTCTATTGTATCCTATGGAAAAGCTGCAGTAGCTTTTGTTACAGGAGGCAAGAAATGAAGATAGCCACCTGCACCCTATTCCTTCTCTAGTGGGCAGGGGAGCATAGACAGTTCTCTGTCTGTTTTAAGTGGGATGAACTGTTTCTCATGGGCTGTAGAAATAATTGGCACTCAAGTCTCTAGGCTTCAGCCACAGAACGTGGGGCTTCAAAGGCAACACATGGGGCTTCACATGCAACGTGTTGAACTTCAAATGCAACAAATAGGATTTCAGATGTAATACGTCCTCGATGTGGCTTCACAGTGCTGTGTCAAGCCTGGTCATACACACTGGCCTCCAGCTCCCCTTCTCCCAGGAGCTGCCTTTCACAGTCAAAGAATCACAGAATGGCTGCACTTGGAAGCCATCTTCCAACTCCTACTCCAGCAGGGACACCCAGAGCGGGGTGCCCAGGCCCAAGTCCAGATGCTTTTGGAGATCTCCAAGGAGGAGACCTCACAGCCTCTGGGCAGCCTGTGCCAGTGCTCTGTTTGTTGATGTCCACATGGAGCCTCCTCTTTTCCAGTTTATGCCCTTTGCCTCATCTTGTCAATGGACAACACTGAAAAAAGCTCAGTTCTGTTCTCTTTTGCACCCTCCCTTCAGGCACTTATACACATATAGGTAAGAGCCCCCTGAGCCTTCTCTTCCCCAGTCGGAGGTCTCTTGTCCTCCCCTCATAGGAGAGCTGCTTTCATCACCGTATTGGCCCTGTGTTGGACTCTCTCCAGTATGTCCACAACTCTCTTGCACTGAGGGGCGCAGCAGCGCTGAGCGCAGGGAAAGGACCACCTCTCCCTTCCAGGACGGCAGGAGCGCAGCCGCCCCCGGCACCTGCAGCGGCGGCAGTCCCCGCGGCCGCCAGCAGGTGGCGCTGCAGCCCGCATTCCGCCGGGCGGTGCTGCCACCTCCGCGGGGCGGGGGTGCGGGGACCGGAACGACGGGGACACGAATAACGGGGATACGATTAACGGGCACCAAATAACGGCAAAGATCGGCCGACGTGAGGGCTGGGTCGCTATGCCTTCCCCTACAGAGAGGGCAACCCACGGGGGTCTCTCCCGGCCCCTGCAGCACCTGCCTGCGGCTCGGGGTCGCGGCCGGGCCGGGGGGCGCGGAGCGGTGCGGGGGGTGCGGCGGTGCCAGCGCTGCAGGAGGGAGGCCGGGATCGCAGCTGGCCCTGAGGAGATGGGGTCGTGTTTCCAGATGGGAAACCAACGCGGAGAAAAGCGTTACCCCGCAGCGGAGGAGATGGTTTGATTAGGAAGATGCGGGCGACAGGGAAGGACGGAAGTTTTCTCCCAGGGGTGAAATAGGCTGTGTTACTTACAACGGGTGTCGTACCTCAGGCAGCTCCCTGCGCAGAGAGATCCGCTCGCTGAGCGCTTCGTTAAAGCCGTGGGTTTCCAAGCCGAGCGGCCGCTCCCCCGTTGCGGCCCCGTTGCCGTCCCCCAGAGGCAGGGACAGGAGCTGGGACTCGGGGTCTCCCTCCTTCGCCTCCGGCCGCCTGCTTTGCTGCTTCACCACTCGATAGCCTTTCCTGGCCTTGCTGTGGTTCCTTCGACCCGTGGGGGACACGACGGCCGCGATCAACTCATCCTCCCGCAGGGAGATGAACGGTGACAGCCCGTCCAAGGGGTAGTACTGCTGGCTCTCCTCCTGGGTCTCCAGCATCTCCTGGGTCTCCGCAAAGTCCACCTGGTGCCCTTCCCGGGGGTTGAACTCCACAGGCTGGAAAGTCCCGTCCTTGCTCCGGTTGCTGGCTGGTGGATTCAGCATTGTAACCATCAGCAGCAAAAAGCCCAGCATCAGCAACAACAACAGAAACTGCAGCTTGCGTGATCCATATCTGCATTTCTTCCTCAAGAACATACTGTTGGTGACAAAATGATACAGATTGTCATGTTAAATATCACTTGGATCTCGCTCAGATTCCAGTCCTCGGGTTGCAGCAACGCGCTGGTTTTCACTATCTGCCAAGAGGATTTCTTGTTCCCCTCACATTTCACTGATGCCGTTTCATGCTTTCCTCTCTATTTACAGACAAAATAGAAAACGCCTATTAATATTGCACTTACTGTGGTAAAATGCAGCATGGATCCAGTGAGATGGAGTAGGTCCGTTGTTACGGAGTGCCGGCTCAGTCAGCAAAGAGCATGTTTAGCAAATGAAAGGAATAGCTTAAGTTTTGAGTTTTTCCTTTTTAAATTCTAGGTAAAAAGAAATCCCGTTTCTAACAGTTTCCTTCCAGAGTATTTCCTGCTTCTTCAATGTTTCCCGTAGCTGTCTGGTTTCACGTGCCTTATCTCCGAAAGCAGATCTGACAGCCTTCCCCCGTCTGAGACTTCAAGTTCACTGTGATCAACAGATGAGAACTAGTCGGTCCCTGCCTTTGCTTCACACATAGCTCCAGCACTCAGTCAGGAAGCACTTTGCCAGACATAATACAGAGCAGTGTGTGCGTCTTTCTCCTGGTCCTAATGCCCTCACTGTTCTTATCCTATCAAATCAAAACTTTACGAAAGCTGTCAGAGGTGAAATATAAGAAGCAAAATGCTGTGTTATAAAACAAGTCAGGGCACACCACGAATCACTCTGCTTCTGAATAACCTTATTAAGTTACGAATGCTCAGAGTGAGAAGCAAGAACTTTATAAACTGAATAAAAGATGGAGTGCACATGATTTATTTAGTGTTAGATTTATTCACATGGTAATGTGCTAGCTGGAGCATATGAGTATATTTCATCTGCAATAAATATTTACAGCTGCTAGGATTTTAACACTGACATAAGGATGCCAAATTATCACCTGGCAGACTGAAGTTTCCTCATCCATAAATTTGGTGTTGCACAGGGAGCAGCACTTCAAGTTTTCAATAGTCCAGGAATAACACGTAGAAAGCTTGGGCTGGAACAGCTCCTGACACTGAAAGAGAACAACTTCTGTGAGTAAATGGGGAGCTCAGCCTCTGGAGTCTGTTTGCTAATATTGCTGGCAAGTGTGTTAGTGGGCACTGACTGTGGTGTTTTTTGCTGCAAGAGGGGTGATTGTCCAATGGGAAAAGGAGGGAGACAGTCCACATGCTTCAACATCACATGCCTCTTGGTCTGGCAGAGATCAAATATAGAAGTAACTCAGGTGTCACCAACCCTTTTGATGCTGGAGATGTGGGATGTGATTTTTTTTTTTTTTTTTTTCATATCTTGTAGTATTTGTTTATCTAAAAGCTTCAGCTCTGGGAGGCTTGTGACATCTGGGGAATTTTCACATTCAACTGTTGTTAAAAAAGGAAATTTCTAGATGTTATAGGTAAAAGAAAAACCTGAAGACATGAAAGCAGTATACTCAAAGGAAGCCAGGAATTCATTTTCTTTCCTTCTTCTGCATTACCTCCTTACAACCTCCTTGCTTCTTTAAGTTCAATCTATGGTTTCCTGGTAAATGGCTTTCAAAAAACTGAATAGGAGAGGACACCAATTTTTGAGCTAAAATGAGTCATTGCCTTTGTAAGGAGGGACTAGAGAGAAAACTGTTGGAGACATGTAGTGTCTGGCACTTGTGTACTCCCTTAACTGTCTTATACAGAACGCCTTGAGCAAGTGAGACCAGTCTGCTGTGTGTTGGCACCTTCCCTACCTCAGCTGTTCTTAAAAAGATATAACACTGCTTTGATCATATCCTGGTAGAAGGAGAATTTAGCCAATATTTTCATACTTCACCATTGTGAAGTATTCCCTTTTGAGCTAAATTCACAGAAAAAAATAACATTCCAACCACCTTCTGTCTTGAGAATATTGTTCCTTATCCTTCTTTTCATAGGAAAAAAAATGTGTTGATGAGAGAAGCAGCTCATATTTGCATAAAAGAAAATCTGAGCTCAAAAGCATTCATTTAAATAACAATACGTGTCAGCCATAGAAAGGCAAAGGGAAATGGAAATGAAGAGACCTGTCCGAGGCACTCTGCAAAATGTTCAGTTTCACAGGCTTCTATTATCAGGTATATGGGAGAAAAAAAAAGAAAAAACTGGAAGAAGAGTGTGTGGGGGATAAATGGGAGAAAGTATTGGCTTTCTTTTTCTATTCTGATCTACTTGAGTATTTTTATTTCATTTAGTTGTAGTTTTGCCCTGGCCAAAATATTGAAACAAAATTCTGAAACAATTGATCAAGATAATTCTTCCCCACATTGGTAACTGCTGTATAAACTCCGTCCTGGCATGTTCTGTGTTGCTGAACAAATCCACCTGGATCTCTCATGCAACTGTGTTTCAGCTTTAGGCCCAATTAACAAATTTACATAAATCTTTGCTACTTTTGAGACAGAGCTGATAGGTCATTTTATCACTGAACTATGTGCATATATAGCGTGACTATACAATTATAGAAAAGGTGTGTGAAGATTAGTAAGTTAAATGTATAAAAGTATAAAATACTGCATGTCACCATTCCAGCAGACTCTATTCCTCTTATTATTTTTTAGCCATATTTTTTTGAGTTGATTGCATGTAGCTCAAACACAGACTGCATAGGTGACAACAGAATACTGGAGGGGAGGGCACAGTGCAGTGCTGACTTTGCCTCTCGTGCCCACCACACACAGTTGCATCAAAACCCATGTGTGTTTCATGTTACCAACACTTGTGCCACTTGTAATATGTAGTAATTGCCAATAATAATATTTCAACCTATGTACACAAGTATGTGTCTTTAAAAAAAGAGGAATATATGTGACTTATATACATGAACTATATTATACATTTTATATTGTATATATAAATGCAGCCCAAGACAACTCCTCTTCACACAGTATGGTTCAGGCAAGACAAAAGTTTGGACAGCCCTGGTTTAAGTGCTGCTTCTCCAGCTGCCCTCCAGTCAGTGGGAGAGAAGCATGTTACAAGCTGTGCCAAATAGATGAGCAATTCCTCCAGAAAGGGCCAGCCTCTAAGAAAGGCATTGACCAGTGCCAATATCATATTGTCTTTCCTTCTGTGCAACCCATGCGATTGGTAAAATATAGGATTCTAAGCAGTCTTGCTCAGGCAGACCCCATTGTATAAGGTATACAAAATAATAATTAATAATAATAATAATAATAATTATTAATATATATATATATAATAATTAATAGAAAGTTGAGTCATAATGACTCCTCCATTCTTTAATCACAGAATCACAGAATATCCTGTTGAAAGAGACACAAAAGGATCTCGGAGCCCAACTCCTGGCTCTACACAGGACTTCCTGAAATTCAAACCATGTTTCTGAGAGCCTTGTCTAAATGCTTGTTGAACTCCAGCAGCTTGGTGCTATGACCACTGCCCTGGGGAGCCTGTTCCACTGCCTGATCACCCCCTGGTAAAGAATCTTTTCCTAGTACCTAACCTGACCATCCAACGCTGCATCTCCATGAATCCTCTCCGCAGTTTGCTCTTCTCTGGGCTGAACAACCCAAGCAGCCCTAGCCACTCCTCAAATGTCTTCTGCTCTAGACCCTTCACTATTCTTGTTGCTCTCCTTTGGACTGCCTCTAATAGCTTCATGTCCTTATATTGCAACACCCAGATCTACGTACACATAGTGCTCATGGTGAGACTGCACCAGTGCAGCATGGAGCAAGACAATCCCTTCCCTCAACTGGCTGGCAGTGCTGGGCCTAAAGCATGCCAGCATATAGTTGGCTCTTTTGGCCTGTTTGTGCTTCTGGTTGAGAAGGAAGAAAAAATATGTCATCTTTCACTGTTGCAGATTTTGCGCACTAATTGCCAAGAGCTAGAACATGGAATCAAATGTTGGCCTTGTTATTCATTTCAAAAGTATTAGGAGTATCCTGAGTAATAAAACTTCTCAGTCACTGTGGTGTACTGTTCGTACTTATCTTTTTCTCTTCACCTCATTTTTGGCTTTTATTTTTGTCCAAATTATTTCCCAGCGCATACTTCTTATATGTTACATGACATGTTACATTACCCATACTTGAAGAAACAATGCACAGTTTCAATATGCAGAGCCTGCATTTGACTGCCAGGAAAATAAGAAATAAAAAACAAAATCAAAGCTGGATGTAACAAAGAGCAAGTGGGCAAGTTGTTACTTACTCTTTAATATGCATCTTGGATTGATTTACACTCCTATGCCAAAAGCAGATGTGCCACCTTCCATTTAAAGACTCAGCACATAACAACACCCATAGTTTCATAGCTGCATGTGTTACATGCCGCAGGTCCTCATACATTTGTACAATGGCTTGATTTGCACAGATGTGAAGAAAGTCAGTGCATAAAATGTGACTGATTACTTGGTGCACAGGATTTGTGGGGGTTTTAAAATAAAATTACTTTCCCTGTTCTTCCCAGATTAAAATAATAAATACATATTTCTAGACTACAAAAGATATGATTTATTTGCAGGTGTTGCAGGTGCTTTGAGCCCTGGACATGGTAACAAATACTGTTAACAGTTCAATAACATTTTCCTATAGCAAGCTAATAATAAACTTGAGCATGTTACAGTGGAACTTGGTATTGGAGGCTATCAAAGCTTGATAAAAATCTGTTGATCAGAGGCACAAGAATTTGGCACTAGCGCTATGATTTATAGGATGTTTGTGAAACTGTCAGTGAAGGAAAAGCAGCTGAAATTCCATTTTTACAAGATTTCTGCTCATAAATCTTGTGACCAATGTAAAAGGGAACATGGAAGCCTGCTTTGCAAAAGCAGTTCTGGGGACATGAAGGTCAGCAGCCCTTGGTAAAAAGTTGAGGGAACATATCACAGGAGTGACAGCTTCTGGATTAACTACACCATGGCCTCTGATTAACTCAGAATTGGTAGCTCTCAGGTCTTTAAGGGTCAGTTGTATTGTTCTCTGCCTGAAGTCTCCACCCTAAGGCAGAGATTACTAGCTTTCTGTGAGGAGTGAGACTGTTGATCAATATTTATCACCAAGAAATGATATATCCCAAGTGCTGTCAGCAATACCATCGCAACCTCCTGCCTTTGTACTCAACCGCTATTTATATCCTTAAGCTAGGGAGGGTTCCACAAACTTTCAGCCTCCAACAACCTAGAGGTTAGCTGAGAGTATCATAGTTATGAAAACCCAGAGAAAAAAAAACAGTATTCAATAATAGCAAATGCTGTCACTGTTTCTGGGGTGAGTTAAAAGCTGAGCAAAGCCCAAGTTAAGTCACTGCAGGTGTGTGTCTTAATGAGCTGCAGTTAGGCAGCAGGTGAGCATCAACCATGAGTACAGGCGTGCGTGATTGAGTGCTGCTAGGAAGAAAGAAGGGGAGGGAGGGTGGAATGGAGGCTTGAGGTAAGGCTGCCTTGAAGTTGTTTTTCTGTGCTTTAATTTTTAATGTAGGGGAAAGAGAGTTGAAATGAAAGTAAGTTGTGTTGGTATCAGTGGTGTGTGAGTTGGATCTGTGGTTTCCCTCCCTATTTTCTTGTTAAGACTGATGTTCTTCAAATGATTGATACACAGAACATGGAAAAGATTTTCTAATTTATTTATTTATTTACCTAAACACACTATGCTTGTTACAATTCATACTGGAGTTATGATACAATGTATTGTGTAAAAATAACTTGCGTGAGTAAAGGCCTCCTTTCTATTTTCTTTATTTTTTTTCTTTATTTGTTTCAATCTCTACCTGTCCTACCCTATGGTGAAATGTACTTGAATAATCTGTAAAATATAAAGCATTGTATAAATAGTGATGTAGGCTTTGAAGTATTTGTTCAAAAATCCAAAGCAAGCCCTGTACTTTCTTTTACGTTTCTTTGGGCTCATCGTTG